TGTTACCTTCCTAATGAGAGGCGGCACTTGTCATACATTTCTAAAAATGGTTGTGCACCGCTGCGTAGTGCCTCGTTTATTATATTAGCCATGCTAGTGCTGGTAGATCGTGTTTTAGACAGATTCTTTAACATATGTTTTAGTGCAAATGCTGCCCTGTAATGTTTTATATCTCCCAGCTCTTGCTTGAAATGTGTGTGGTAAGAATATGTGAAAAACCATTAAGTTTTATAATGAACGAAATGTAAGTAGGCTATGTCATATGGAAACTTTGAATTATAACCTAACTAGTTAAATTAATTAATTTTGAACGAAAAGAAACAAATGTTTTTTCCTTTCGTTCCATGGAACAGTCCATATGGACCCCTCTGATAAAGCCTTGCTCACCCTTTGGCCACCCCTTGAAAAAAAGTCTAGCTCCGCCACTGGTTACAAATGTGCACAAATTTTTATCACTATTCTGCTAATGTCAAATAAACAACATTTTGCAATTGTTGTTTCCATTAAATGAGAAATGTCCTGAAAATCGCATGTGAATAAGCTTGTTCAAGTCATTAAACATAATGACATCGAGGGATGTATACAATTACATGAAATACATTCATAATTCAGCATTCATCAGCAAGAAGACATTAGAGGACCATGTGTCCATTAAACAAATTTGTTTTCGTAATTTCAATTTGTGCAATCGAACACTTTAGTTAATCGAACTTAGCTACTTAAAGTTTACATTCATATATTCATTGTCCAAGGGCATCCTGAAAGTGTCCTTTTATTGGCCCCCACCACCCCACACACACTCTACTGGTGTCAGAGGTCTTAAAACTGAATGCTTGCAATTGTGGTCGCAGTTCACAGTAAAGTCAGTGATGTAATTCTTAGGAGTAACTCTTTCCCAAACTCATTAGGTCTTGTCCTATTTACTGCGGCTGACTGGAATGAATGTTTCTGGTCTGCAAATGGTCGATGTTGGTTCTTAGCTTCTCAAGCTTCCCTGAGAGAAAACTTGGAAGAGAAGGTCTGTGATTCGCGTCTCAGACTATGGGATAATGCAGAGATGTTTTTTCATGAAATTTTATCCAATTATGTTACCTAAATGATTCTACTTATGATCCAGAGTAAAATACACTCTCATTATAGTTTATTTAAATCAACAGTAATAACAAAGAATATTAAATTGCATGCATTTGTGCATGCATACTCAGAGAGAGCTGATTACCTTCACAGATAATTTCATGGATTAAGATGTTCCAGATGGCAAAATTACCCCCATACAGTAAATTGACCGTAAAGCAGGCAACCATAGCAGCTTCTTGTTCTTTTGGCAGCAAATGTTTTAAGTCTGAGGACAAAAATGTCACAGAAACATTTACTGGAGAAACATTCCTATGAGTTTGTCCAGTGGTTTTAAGTCTAGTGAGGTCAGCTGGGCTTCTGAATTCAGATACTGCTTATTACTGAGGGAGAACAAGCACTTAAATTTGAACTCCATGTGTTTTGTCTTGTGTTTTTTGTGCAAAAGAGAAACAAAGAGGATCTCCAGTGTAACAACTCTCACTTCTTGGTTCCAGGGCAAAGTCATCTGAACGCCTTTATTTAGACACAAGGGGGAAATTATGATGAGAATTCCTTCCAGTCAGTAATTTAGTAATTTTAGACAGAGGGTGTGGAGAGCTCTTCTAGAAATGTTCAGACACATCTAGATTGTGCCACAATAGCCTCTGGCAAGCAGCCAGTGTCAACCACAGTCAAGCAGACACTGTGTCTTTTACAAGGAATCACATCAAGACTCAGTTGCCAGGAACAATGCAAGCAAATCATTCATCATCTTCAAAGTGGAGGTTCCCATCTTCATTTCTATCCCATACCAGTTCGGTCATTAATCACTTTCCAGCTCTTTCAAAGCACCTGTGTGAGGAAAGCCCTGGCAGCATAATATCAGCTTTACAGGCAGCAGTAACTCTTCCAAACACCTGCCGGGGGTCATTTTAACGGAGAGTTTCTCAATAAAAATGTGTTACTTTTTGTACCCCATAACAATAAAAGATGTATAAACTGCTAATACATTGTTTTGACTTCTAACATTATTGCAGTTGATCATGTGCGGAGAACCAACACCCATGCACGGTTAAGTCTTCCTTTTCATTGACTGCATAATTAGGCTTGTGCATCACAATTTGACAAACATTCACTCAATAAAGTTCATGACAAACAGTTTTATAGAGACTATTATGGTGGAGAAGCATCCAATGTGTCCTTTACTTTTTTTTTTTTTAGAACCTTTAATTTTCTCTTTTGATGTTGTCAAGCCAACATAGCACAGTCAGTGGTGCTAATAACAGAGTACGTTTCGTCAAAGCTTTTATCCCACCACATATTTTTGGGTATTAATTGGCTGGACAGCCTCAGGGACCATAACCCCTCTTTTGTAACCGTTTTGCCCCCCGTTGTACATTAGGATGCATACACTTAGAAAGTACTGGCATGAGACAAATTTCCTAACAAAATTGCCTAACAACACTGTTTAGCTTGTGTTAGAAATCTGCTTCCACTACCACTTGAGGCACATTTCCACTCTCACAAAATCTGTTGATTTAAAAGAAAACTGCAGTGTGTTGAATGTTTTAATAGCAGGCCAAAAGCCGATTCTGTTATCTGGATGCCAAAACATCCTTGTTAAAAAGAACAAAGCAAAACAACAACAGACGGTGCTTCATTATTACAATCACTTTTTTCTAGGTATAATTTTCAGAATTAGAGCTTATCAAAGCAAAAATTGTAAAACATATTCAGATGAACTTATGCGTCCTAATAAATCAGCGGTGTGCCAAAAAAAAAAGTTTGTTAAAAGAATGACCTCAGGGAAATATCCTTTGGAAAGTTGTGCGCCCTCTTGTGACTGATTAAATGTCACTGATGTGAAAACACATGGATGTTACTACATCTTGGTTGAAAATAATGAAAAACAAACAAACAAACAACAACAACAAAAAGAGTGGAGTGCAGTTTGAAACTGATGGTTAATTCTGTTACAATTGTACAGAGTTCCACTGCATTTACAGTATGCCTTCTACAAACTTTGTGACGAAAACCTACAATGTCAAAATTTCCCCAGCAAATCCTACAGCACTTCTAGCAATCTTAAACAAGAAGAAACTTCTTTAGTCAGTCAGATTTTGCCTAAGTTTTGGCCAACTATGAAGGTTGAAAGGTGGATTATGCAGAGTAAAAAGAGACAAATTTATAAACCGAGATTTGGCTTTAAGTCATGAAATATCTAAGCTGCTCTTCATTTCACAATTTCTCAATGTTTTTGAAACATGGATCAATTAAAACCAACTAAATAAAATTGATATTTCAAAGTATCCTTTTGGACTAAAGTTTTCATGTCTGAATGTATGATACTGTGCAAGTAATAAAGTACATCTTATATGACTTATTTTTTTTTTTAAATTAGCCACAGGAAACTTAGTATATGCCACAGAAGCTACATGTTGACTGTGAATTTATTTTAAACTGAACAAAGTGACAACTTCCTTCCTGGCAGAGTCAGTCTTGGCATTTGAAATTGGCCACCAGCAGCCAAACCACAGCGACAGTTTCTGCTGCAGAACATGTTCGCCTGTTTAGTTTATAAATAATGTGATGCAGGGCTTTATCAAATATGTCTTGGATATATTTTTGTTCCCAGAGTTGATTCTCTTTCTACCTTTTTCCCAGACACACACACACACACACATACACAGGACTGCATCAACTCACCAGGATGCCAACCAAAGGAATTGCTAAGTCAGTGTTTTGGGCAACAAAACCACCACAAAATAATAAGTCTATCTTCTTTCGAACAATTAGTAATTTTTCATTTTTCTACGCGAATGTGTCGGCACTGCATTTTATAGAACACGAGTTAAGGTCGAGAAATATGTTTGTCATCCAAAAATGAGAAGGTTTTATGATGGTGTATTATTTCCTTCACCAAAGACAGGGAAGCTGTTCATACTTGATGTTACAAACAGACACATCGTGGGGAAAAAAAAAAAAACTTTTAGAGGCTGTTAAACTATTGAAACTTCTTTTTTTCTCCATTTAAGCACTGATAAAAAAAAAATAAGCCTGAATGAAATACAGTGAGGTTTGTGGTATTACATGAAGAGATTTTAAGACATGAATACTTCTGCAAGATATCCTAAGTTTTTATTTTCAAACACTTGAAACATTATAAGGAGGTTACTTATTTTATTTTGACAGTCATTACAAGTCCATTACTAGAGCTGTTTGATTTTTTTTTTTTTTTAGTTTCACAACAAAATTCAGTAGCCTGGCTGATTTCTAGAAAGGACTAACAAAACTCTACTGCATGAAGAGTTTAAGAGAGCTTATGAAGATTAGTTATTTCGTTTTACATTAACTAACCACCTTTGTTCAATATGCTTGGTAGCGTAAACAAAAAAGTCCATTCAAATAAATGCATTTCAGCATCACGACAGTGATGCTGAAAAAAAATAATGGCGCAATAAATAATGCTGCTCAACAGTTGATGGAGAAAAGTAGCAATCCTCTTCACAACATCACGATTGAAGTGAAGTGTCTTCACAGTGAAGACACTTTAGACTGAAGATCTCTGCCACTCAAGTGCCAGAGATCATTTCTGTTCAATGCTGTAACAATGACCCAATTACACTTACTCTTTATACTTTACCTATAAAAATGTATACAACGTGATACATTTTGATTCAGTTCAACAAATTAGTCTTTTCTTCTTAATTTGTGATTAGCTAAAACTTCAAATCTAGAACATGTTAAACCCACTTCAAGTGGTTTTTCACTTAGGCTGAACAGGGCGACTGCTGTGAACTCAACTCTTAAGTTTTTTTTTTTTTTTGGTGCGTCTTTACAAAACACATTTGCCTTCTCTCTTCCTCATTTCACTACAGGAAGTAAGTTTGCAGTATGATGCTGGGCTGTCACCGCACTCTACATGTCATTCTGGTAAAGTCTTGCTAACATGAAACAGCTCTAGGTCTAGATTCTGCGGCGGCTGCCACCGTGGCCCTGTTTGGACGATGACTTTTATCATCTCATTTGAAACTCCTGCAATGAACTACTAATTCTATGGGTAGGTTGAATACTTATTGTTTCTGCTACTTAGTTTATGTAGCGACTGTTACTTCTTCATACCAGAAAAAGGAACACTGTGTAAAGTAGCTTTGGATCAAATATACAAGATCTGATTTACATGTGCAGTTAGATTTTCAGTTCTTCTTCAGGGGCGCTACACAAAACATATAAAATTAGCAGCTTAAAAGGTTTTATTTACGTAAAATGATACGCCAATCTGCCTCTATCAGTTGTCTACACCAAACTGGAAGTTGCAATGGAAAATTCTGGCCGATAACATCTAACCTCAGCTTCCCCATTCTGAACTGAGATAGTTGAGAGATGAGATAGCTCACTGGTCAGCTCGCAGTGAGATGCAGAACTTGAAGTTCATGAGACTAGGGAGACTTTAAAGAGCGGTATATGAAGACATTTTTGCATGTCTGTCTGTTGACTTCAGGCTGGAGTTTGGTCCCCCTGGAGGATGGGGAATATGATGCGAGGCGCTAGTGACAGTCACAAGGTCAATCCTGACAACCCTGACAGTGCTCAGAAGGGTAAGGTCACCTCTAAAAACTTCACAACTTGGAAGGGTATTTGCAAAATTACTTTATTTGAAAAAAAAAGTGAAATCTTTACCTGCTGCTATCAGTTATATCGTTTTTGCAATTAAAAATGAAAATGAAACAATGCGAAATGCTGGTCTGCACATGTATGGACAACTGAAGCTTCTGTTCAGTGACCAAGAGTGTGAAAAAAGAAACACAAATAGTTTGAAATTTGTTTCAAAATACTGTAGTCAATTGTAAATTTGATATTTTTATGGTTAAAAAAATATTGAAGGATAAGTCACAAAGAGAAATAACTTTTACACCTTGCACTGATAAAACAAAGGCTTCTTCCTATGACATCACTGCTCCATTAGGGTCTGTGTGAGTTCAACGTTAAATTCACAGAATCAGCCGTCCGTCTGGGAAAATTTAGAGAAACAAAAAATCTTCCTTCTTAATTCACTTTGTTGGTGATTTTTCATTTTAATCACATTAAACATTAAAAGAAAACGCAGATTTTAAACTAATTAAAAAGCAACAACTTGCATTTCAATTTTAAATGTAATTTTTATAAAGGAAATTGAAATGATCTATTTCTTTTTGTTGTTGTTTTTATTATTTATCAAAACATCCACAGCTATCTCTGAAAATATAGATCATTATTTTATGAGTTAATTATCCTCTGAAAAGAACAATAATCAATATTCAAATGAAAGTGAGCAAAAATCCTGCTTTTTAGACATGAGGCCTGCGCAAAGTCAGTATTTATAATGTTCGCAAATATCCGGCTTTGTTGTCAGGTTCTGATGACGACATAGTAGTTGTGATCAACGATTACCCCTCTTTGGAAATCAGTGAGCCCATTTACAAAATGGGGGAGAAGCTCAGAGTCATTGCACAGTAAGTTTTTTGTTTTGTTCAGTTTAAATTCTCAACACTTCTCAAATGCTCCTGGTAAAATAGAGTCAATTTATTGCACAAGAAGTCATTATGGAGAAGCGTTTAGAAAGGTCAGCCATTAATTCCTCTTTTTCTTCTTCAGAGAAGCTTATTGGTGGAGAGTTCGCTCTATTGATACAGGGAAGGAGAACTACATACCCAACAACTATGTGGTGAGAGTTTACCATGGGTGAGTAGAACTTCATGTTCTTTCTAAAGCTGACTCTCACAGCGCATGTCTAAAAATAAATAAATAAATAAATAACAAAAGCTCTTTGTCTTTCTTTTCGCGACATGTCCATATAAGTCCGCTTCTCTGTAATGTCAGTTCTGGAAACAGTTTCGTGTTGCTGATCGTGTTTACTGTGTTGTCAGGTGGCTATTTGAGGGGGTGGGAAGGGAGAAAGCCGAAGAGCTGCTTCTTCTACCTGGAAACAGAGTGGGATCGTTTCTGGTGCGAGAAAGCACCAGCGAGAGAGGTAGGAACACATGCAGCACTGGTATGTGATGCAGTCAGCATGGCTTACCACCCAGGGTGGCATGACCAGAGACCCTATTGCGTATTTGCACGTTAATTCAACAGGGAGGCAGCTCCCCACGGCAGCAGGACTCAAGTGGGGTTTTGTTCTAAACGTAGCATTCGTGCAACCGATCCCACATCACTGTTCTCCTCACCAAGATCACCAAAATGCAGCTATTTTTAGAACAAAGCTGTTACTGGCCTAACCTAACCCATAGCAGGTCCACATGCATGCTCGTCATGTCTTTTTGTTTTTGTGTAGTTCAGTTGCTGTTTACTGTACCATATTCAGTCCCGGTACAGTTAGTTGAATATTTCTTTCAATATTTTCTTATCTCCATTCATTGACAAGCATCAGGAACATCATTTCTCTCAGTACTGAAACACTAAAGAAGGAACAAACTAATAAATGATCCCAAAAAACCTGGGATAGACTTTTTTTCTTCAAATAACGATGAAACTGTTTTGTAAGTAGTTCCTTCGCTAAACTTGCTGCAAAGACAAATGCGAGCCTCTGACTTGCTATTTCTGCATTTACTTGAGCCAACATTCTCAGTGTGACTGAAAGTAAAAATCTAAATATTAGCGATAGTAGAGACGGCTGTACGGTGAAACCTTTTCCATTAAAACTAGAGATTACAGTGTGCAGGCTACATCTCTTCTGCATGCACCTATGGAGTTTTTTAAAAATAATTAATCCAGAAAACGTGGCATAAACATGTGGAAACCTACAGAACCAAAGTGGACAACGATAATTTACGTGAACCATGGAGGTATGAAGCAGGTTATCCACCAATTATTCGGAGAACAGAACAAGTTAAATGTTTCATTCTAAGTAACTGCCTGTATAAAAGTAAAGATATGTATTAAAATGTATAATTTTATGATTTTTACACTGCCTTTTTTCTCTGTCTTGCTGACCACAAGCACTGTAATTGTTCCGTTTGCAGTATGTTTCACACAGGAAGAACAATGTTGGTACATCGCCCTCCACATCCGTTTAGCAAATGGTCACTAGATTTTAAGCAAAATTCATCCGATTTTGTTTTAGAGATTGGAACTATTTTATGATGATAGAAATGTACTTCGGTTTTGGACTAACCATTAGGCTCAGCCTCCTGGACAAACAAATTTTATTTTCATTAAGACACTCATAGATTTAATAACAGCCAATAGGACATTAATAGCTCAAAACGTTTTACTGTAGAATCCCTTTAAAAAGTCCTAAACTATCACTTTAAGAAGCTGCTTTATATTTTTTTGTCTTTGTTGTGAGCAGTTGAACAGACAATCAACTTGTCAAGCAACATCAACATCGCACACAATGTAATTTCTTGATGCTTTGCCTCACTTTTCTTTTCCGCATGTGTGGTTGTCTACTGTGATTTCCTCAGGTCTGTATTCACTCTCAGTGAAGCACAGGGCAGTGAAGCACTATCGAATCTTCAGACTGGACAACAGCTGGTACTACATCTCACCGAAGCTCACCTTCCAATGTCTTGAAGATATGATCAGTCATTATTCTGGTAAGTGGACGCACTGAAGACTCAAGCACCGACATGTTTACTTTGAGTTGCTGAAAATAATATTCATATCCTCAAAATAGACAATTCTTATCGATCTTGACATTATAAATATATTTCCGGCACTCAGAGAACTTTTGGAACAAACAGGAAATTAAGTAAGCTATGCATGACTGATAATCACTTGTCTTGCACAAACCAAACTGTCAAATAAAGTGGCAATAGTTGAAGGCGCGTGATTGAAGCCCAGTCTTTCACAGGTTGGTTTGAGTGGTATTTGCTTGAGCAATCGAGTGTGTGAAGACAGAATGCAAATAATGCAACCTAAAATTGGTTTTATTTTGTTTATTTTACTTCCCCTCTGTCTTCCCCTACAGACTCTGCAGATGGGCTGTGCTGCACGCTCACCACTCCTTGTCTGTCGGGGAAAGCTGAGGCACCAGAAACAAATCCTGGACCGCCACCTGTCGTCATGCGACACAACTTTGACTGGAGGAAAGTAGACAGGTACAGAAGAGACGTCAAAGTCACATTGATCTAGTTTGTTTATGTGAGGATGATCAAAAATGTTTGAAGTGGGAATAAGCTGTGGCGCATAAGGAAAATAGAGAAAGGGGCACAAAACAAAATAGAGAGCTAAAGTTATGCAACACATTTTCAACATACCACAAGTTTGTGATAAAAAGATGTCAGTAAAGTGAAAGATTTACAGATGCAAATTAAGCAACATTGTGCAAAATTGACCTTAGACTAGTTAAAAAAAAAAACCTGCATTTTGTTGTGAGGACAAAATGCAAATATACGGTACTTCAGAAATGCAACCTCATAAAATATTACTTTATGCTAAAAGGTTAGTGACTAACATAAAGAAAACTGTGGTTATATAACTAGTACAATAAAAAAAAGGCAGTAGATTGTCAAAAAATATGTCAACACAAATTTACTGTAGACAATAAATTTTGTTGGGGTGGGTCTGTCACTGGGTTTAACAGGAAACAGTTGGTCAGCACAGACGGCAACAGCGACAACATGGTGAGCTACGGTGTGAGGAACAGCATCGCTGCTTATTTGTCCTTTTCTGGCCAAGAACACCCTCAGCAGCAGCGAGGTGATCAAAGGAAGAAGAAATCTAGATCTGTGTATATGATTCCAGAAAGTAGTAATGCAAACACTGAGTACGAGGACGACTTCTAGAGACGGCAGCAGCTCGGTTCGAATGAATTTACAAAAAAACGTTTGAGCAGAGACTCTCAGATATCTACTACAGCTCTCAGATGTCGGCTGAGGAATCCTCTGGCTCTGCTATGGTCAGAGGACCTGAAAGTGAGTTGAAGTAACAGCACTTTGAAATCTTTTAACAGTAAGTTACACTTGTACTCATGCTTCAAAGACAAACGAAATATGATTCTACGTGAATGTGTGAATGAGTGAATGAGTCAGACGTGGCTTCAACAATAACAACAAGCATTATTCAAATACAAAGTAGTCCATAGAAATTATTGGGATGAAGTATCTAGAATACTAGTACTGGTTCAAACTATTTCCCTTTATCAGTTGAAGATAAATATTTAAATGTATACAAATAAATGTTTGCTACTTTTGTTCATTTTTACCTCATGAAGTTGACAAGATTTTTGTTCACAAAAGCTCAAAAGCTCATCTATTTATGTTTTCTCAGATTGCAACGTAATATTATTTTTTTTAGTGTAGAAAACATGACATGCTATAAGTGTTGCAATGCAAGGACCTCTTTAGAGTATCATGATATGTGTTGAAAAAAAATCACGAATTGCATTTGCTTAGAAAAAAGAAAGCGACTATAACAAATATTGCTGCAAAAATGATCTCATACGTGGAGGATTACAGATTTTGTTAAAATATAGAATAAACATCTTATATTTGGTGGCAGAGCTCGCGGAAATGCCGTTGTTACACTTATAGTTGTTCCACTTATAGTCGTTACACTTATGGTTGTTCCACTTATAGTTGTTACATTTTTTTGTCCTGCTGTAAACTGTTAAAAAGAGTACAATATATTTAATATATTTAATGGGAGTGCAAAATATCCATATTTCAAGCACATGACAACATTTTGTGTGCCCAATATTTTTAATGTTTGTAGTGGACACACATAACAAAACTCATCTTTAGGCACATTGACATGCATGGCGAGATAAGAACCAGCAGCTTAGGAATATTTCTGGTGTGTGTGTGTGTGGGGGGGTGTGTGCGTGTTTTTGTTTTGTTTTTTGTTAAGACAATGAAAACAATTAAAGATGTTTTTCTGAATCCATACAATTTAGCTAGATTTAGTTAAACTACTGAAATTTCTCCCCAAATGTCATTTTTTTGTCTTTTTGCTTATTATTTGCTTGCTCCACCCAATTGAAAACATTCTGTTTATGATCACACCTGCTTTTTATTTTCTTCTGATATGAGTAGACTGAGCTTTGGACTAAAACAATTAACATGATGGACATAACAAGAGCTCTTGTTATGTGCATTTTCAAAGTCAACTGAAGGTGTTAAAATTGCCTTGAAGTCAAGAGAAAGTGTAAAACTGCTGTTCGCTTAAACTACAAAAATAAGCCACACATTTTCCCACTAATTTCCAAAAAGTTTGCCTTATAACATTGGTATATGTATGTATAGCTTAGTTATCTTTTCGACTTGAACTGCTACCTTTGTATAGTCATTTCTATATTTACTCTCAATACAGTTAATGTGAAAGTGTGCACTGCTTCTGTCAAATACTTTTTTAGCTTTTTTAACTATCTCCCTGAAATATATTTATGTCTGTTTTAAGTGTAGTTGAAATGACACAAGTTATCAAATGTGGAAATTACATTGTTTAGCTTGTGAGGTCAAAAAACAAAAACAATAGAAAAAAAACACCATTTGTTACGCGTGTGAAGATTAAAAAGTGCCTTGAAAGTACTCGGTGGCTTTTACTTTTCAAAAACTTTCCATTGAAATATTGTCTTTCTAACTTTTTCTGACATGCAGATGGACTCTGCATGTCAGTGAGCAATCATCCTCTATGACAGTGGAAATAGTTGGTATGGAAAATGAATACATTTCATAATCAAACTTGGTGCTAAAACAAGTTCCTCTTATGCATATTGCACTTACGGGACATTACATATTAATAATCACTGGCTCTAAAAGGTTTCCACGTATGAGGCAAATCTTGATGTTAAAATGCATCATTCTCAGCACTTCAAATATTTTGTCATTTTTCTGTCTGAGGTTATCTATGGCTATTTATGGCTCCTTGGTGTCAGACAAAGTTTAAAGGCATCAACTCAGGCCTCGCAGTGCATGGCGAAGTAGAACTGAGTCACATGTTGGTTGCAGAGGAAAAGGTCAAGCTAATTACACGGTAGGCATGTTGAAACACCGGTGATTTCAAAATCAACTGTTACAAAATGAACAAAAAAAAAAACTGAATTTTGCAACATAATGAATCCCTTTTAAGGTTCCACGTACATACATTCCCATGAGCAACGTTAAGAATGACGTAAAGAGCATTGAAATAAATATACTACAGAGCAGCAACTACTTAAAGTGACCAAAGGGTGATACATTTAATTGCACTACAGCAATTTAAATGTCAAAATGTTTTTCTGAGGACACTGGCACCAATAAAACCTTAATATTTTCCTCACTGCAAAAGGTCCTTGGCTCTATAATGTTAATGTCGTTGAAAGTGAAGACAAAATACTAGTATTCTGACAGTAATTTGACTCAGACACCACAGAAGAGTTTGATCTTTAAAAAAAAAGTCCTGCAAGTATTTTAAAGTTAAAACCCCACAGAAACAATGCAGTTTCTAACACAATAATCTATAAGCTCACAAGCTGTTCTTCCTCCTGACTGCTACACTCATATTTGGATTTTTCCTTTTCTTGAAGCCAAGATTCCATTTGCCTGATAGTCTTGTGGAAAGAAATGTTTCAAGCAAGAATGCTCTTTCTCATGGAAGATGAGAGACCCAATCTTTTCACCTATTTATTTTCATGAATTTCCTCGCTTTCCTTTGCCGGATATTTAGGTAAAGTAAGAGTGCTCATTCACTGCTACACATATACGGAAGATCTTTTTAACAAGAAAGTTGTCTTCTCTTTAAAATATCTGCCAGTCATGCTTTTCTCCACATCATCTCAAATGCTTAGAGAAGTGTTTCCATTTCAGGGAAGCTTGGGTTCAGAATGATGTGTTTTCTGAACTAACGCCTCAGTTGAAGTCTGGCTTATGTTGTGCTTTAAAAACGACTTCTGAAAGCCAGAATTAAATCCGTTTAGGTTTGATTATTACAAGAATTATAGATTTCTAGCTCTACAATAGAGTTGCGTTATCACTTGGATGTGATGTTGATGCCAATGCCAATACAGTAAACGTAAGTCCACATGGGAAATGTATAGCGTGTAAAGTCAGTGTAAAGCTGTGATCATTTAGCTTTGCATTGTTACAATGGAATACTGACTTTGAATGCATTTATCCTTTTTTTTTAGCTAAGTTTTAATTTCTATTTGTAAATTTCTGTAAATTGAGGGTTAAAAATATATGTTCATGTCACATTATTGTCTTCTTGTGTTTCCAGCTATTTTCTGTTGCTTTAGTCACATTCTCGTGGTTTTTACGCTAATGAAGAAGGGAAGGAGGATTCTTTTGGTAAAATATTTGGAAAATATTCCCCATAAAAATTAAAATTCCTTTGGCTCTTCTTAACGTTGAGCCTCAAGCCTACTGATCAAAGGTCTATTCCCGGGTCTTGTCACAGGCAGAAAAGACAGGAGCATGCAAGCTTACATTTCACCCACAATGGGGCAATTTAAAAAAGCTGCTGTTCACCCTCACGTATTTCCTCAAAGTTTGCAGCCCTGCCAATCTTATTAATGGTTTCATTAACTTTACAAGCCGACAAGCGTGTGATCAGTCAAGTCGAGCTCAGCACTTTCTCGCCTGTAAAACAAAAGGATATGAGAGTTGTGTAAGCCTGTTATAAGCACTCGTTAAATGTCTGCAAGTTACTGATTGGAGTAAAGTTGAAACGTGTGTGATTCAGAGTGTTGAACGGAAGAGCCACTGATGCAGACTCAAACATCTGGTGGCCCTAATGCAACATGCAGAGACTGCTGTCCATCTGAGTGTTTCACTGTAGGCAAAAAAAAAAAACTCCTGCAAAGAAACTGGGGTGAAAGTGACATTCAGATGTTGCTTTGCCTATCATTTCATTTTCACAGTTAAGTTTTAGCATTATTCTACTTTGCTTAATTCCCACTTCTCAAAATTATTGGCTAAGATGTCTTTTCACAATTCTGTCCTGAAAAGCAGGAAGTCACTCACTGTTTGCAGAAAGTTGCTGAAATCTTTGACTGTTAAAAAAAAAGAAAAGAAAAAAGATGAAGTATAATGTACCAGTTTCATTTATGTTAAGGGAATTATTTGCTGGTCCCAAATAATGCATTAGGAGGGATTTTGTAAAAAAAGATATTCATTTCTTAACTTTTTCCAGTCAAAAAATAAATGTGCTTAAATATGTTGAAATCAAAGTTGTATTTTTATTTTTTTTAAAAAATATTACAGTGTGATATTATGTTACTTCATCAAAGGTGAATTTATTTGAAGGAATTTATTTGGGACATTCTCACAAAATGTTCCAATAAATGTGCAGGTTGCTGTGGGGAAAAGTAATTTCTGCCTGCTACAATTTCTGACCACAGCTACATTAGTGTAGATTTGAGAAAATCATCTCTTTAACATTTGCTGTAAAACTGGTGCAGATAGGACAGATAAGCCAGTGTCTCTTTACCAATAGGTCTGTGCACAACATGAAAATAAAAGCTTTCATGGGAGAAAAAGGAAAATTATTGAATTTCAAAGGTAACTAAATAAACAAGATATCCTCACAATTCTTGTCCTGTTGTGCAGAAAAGGCTCAGGGGTTCAGGCCGATTTTTAGATGAACAAAGAGGATTAAATTTAAGAAAAAATATTATTTTACAGTGACTTTAACCCCCAAATAATTTATTAAAACTGCACTCTTCCTTTTATGTTTAAAACCAACAAATGAGACCCGTGAACATTTATTCTATCAGGGAAGGAATTGAGGAACAAAAAGATGGGATACTTCAAGAAAATTAAGAGATGGAAGGAGATGAATCTCTCTGAAACGTGTTTTTATCATACAAGTTCCCGAAGTCTTAGCACACAATCCCAAGGTCCAGCTGTCCAAACCTCTGACTTCACCAAGAGCTTACTGGTGAGCTGTGGACACGCACATAAATATTTTTATTGCCTCATCAAAAATACTTTCCTTTTAATTCGACAACAGAGATATGTGGTCAGTTAACAACCGCATATTTTTGTTTTAAGCGTGGTACAAAAAGTTATTAGCGTATTCATTTCCCGTCAGAATACTGTTAGGTTGTGATGTAAAACTACTTCAAGTTCAGTTTGGTATGCATGAACATTTCTTTCAGAGGACAAAGGGTGGACGGCAACACGGGAAGTTCAAAATAAAAATGCTCTGAATAAATTGGCTATCATTAAATGACGGTACCGAAAATGACTCAAACGCTGTGAACCATTTGCAGAACCTTTTTAATGTTGGTCGTAGAAAAAAAAAAAAAAGCGAACGAAAAAAAAACAAAAACATGAGAACACGGCCTTCACTGTTGAACTACAGGATCCTGAGCCAATACAACCAAGGCTGTGCACGGAGCCAAGAAGAGAAAAATAACAAACAAAAAGCAAACATCCATGAGAAATAAAAGCTGCAAAGCATCCAAGTCAAGGAACATGGCGAGCTGATGTAATCGGCTGGAAATTTATGTTTGCTGCTAAGCCTGAGTGAGAACGTTCACAGCAATAAGAAGAAATACAGACACCTGGAATACCCTTTCAAAAAATGAAGTTTTACTTTGCTTGTTTATAAGCTTTATTCACATACCCAGCATAAAATGACACATTTATTCCTCACAGATAGAGACATAACTTTAACTTCCCAACATTTGTTATCGTTTGATGAAACTGAAAGCAGCGCACAAGTTGAAACTGATCAGTAACTCAGAGCGCAGCTGTGTCCTAAACGACTAGTAAGTGGTTGAAACGTCCCTGCTGAGACCACTTCCTCTCATTTTTCACACGTCTTTTAGCGTAGAAATTGCATCAATGGCGGGTGAAAAAAAAGTAATTTTTCTTAAAGCTAACATTTCCAGGAACTTATAGAACTTAGAAAATATTGACCTAATAAGAGGTAGAAAACATTGACCTAATATAGAGGTTGTGAGTGATGTTTTCAAACTGTGGTTGAAAGAAGCCATGTATTTCATTCATTCAGTCTTGAGCAGCATTTCTATAGGCTTTCTCTAGGTCCTTACATGGTTAGAAGTATTTGCAGGGGTTTGAAAAGGGGTCTGACAGCAGATATGCACGTGCAAAAGTGCAGGATTTTCACTGCTTGTCCTTTCCTGCCTTTGGAGAAAGGTTGAAAAAATAAAAAAAACAGAGACGCTCCAACTTGATGGATTGCACCTGCAAGCTGCTTCGTATCTGTCAGCATTAAAGGAGACCTTATCAAAGTGATAAAACTGCTGTAAACATGAAACTTAAACTGTTTAGAAGAACCAGTACCAGGTTCAGTTAAGAGTAATTGATTTTTCGAGTGATTAAATATGTCACTTAGACATAAATGTGCTAATATGTTTATTTCCACAGTGGGCCTAGAGAGCACTATTTCCATGTGATGACACTGTAGACAAGTTAGAGCAGGTAATATTGATAACCTGTAAGTATCAGAAGTAGAATATTAAATCAAATTCAACTTGTTGACAAAATTCCATAGTCAGCTTTTTGATTGGTTTAGTTTTATTGCTTTATTTGTAATGATAAAAGGTGGAAACATTTCATTCAGCACAAAGTTTAAGAGTTAATGAAGCTTTAGTTCCCAGATTTAACTGGACGACGAGTAAAAATAATTTCAAACTGACAACTACGAAAATCTAAGGGGGGAAAAAACTCGTAAAAGTTGTGAGACAGAAGTATTGTAGAAAGACTGCTCGTGACTGAAAGCCCACAGACCTCAATGACCTGAAACACAGTTATAAAAAGAGTGTGGCATTCATCAAGTCATGGGAAGAGCACTACAGATGGCTAAAATAGTTGTTTCTTTTTAGATGAGAACTAGCATTAACTCTATTTCAGAAGTATTTAATCTGCTTCTCAGAACAGCTAGGCTATCTCACTTGGTTATAATACAAAATTAGAACATATTAATATCTTAATTTTTAGTTAGCCTTATATTATGTTTCTGTGTCTTTCATAAGAGACAGAAAATACCAGCTACACTAGAACCACAGAGACCAATTCACAGAAAGAAGCTGGAAGGCGTCCACGTGAAGAGACGGACTGCTGGAGCCAAGCAGACGGACGGCAGACTGGAGATGATTTGCAGTAATTGACGTGGAGCTGTGTGTGAATCCTGAACACACACTTGTTCACTGAAGGCACTCTGCACATCTGTGTCATGGCTAGATGTGCAGAGTCTCAAAATGTGGAAAAGAAGGGAATATTTGGCTCATACAAATAAAAATGAGGAGTTGAATGTGAGGAGAAAGAAAACACGGTCATGAGCTTATGCAAATGTCATCAAGCATTACAGAATACCTAATGACGTCTCACATTTATTGTGTACTTTGACAGCAAGTGTTGGGGAAGCTATACATTTGCAGTGCACCTTAAATAAGGCCCTTACGCTACATTGATCGTGGTTGTGTTTCTTGTTTGTGACTCTTCCACATCATCGGTTCAGATCAGACTCTGTTTATGTCCGCTTCATTGTGGAAAGATTTTGCATGGGTCACAGATGGAGGAGGAATGGAAAAACTAATCAGGATCAACTAAGACAGAAAAAGTCTCATAGATTTAGAAGTGGTGAGTGGGTACATGGAAAACTCATTGTGTGGAACAAGCATCTGCCAAATAGCTCCTGGGCTTGATTTCTCTCAATTATGCTGCAGAGATGAAGTCATTACCATGTAATTTACCTCATGCGACTGGTAGTCGTGTCCACAGAGGGAAGGTAATGGAACATATAATACCGGATATGCTTGGCAGTTCGTTTGCCTGAATCCCTCAGGAGCTGTATTCGTAAGATCCAAAGGAAAAGAAAACATTCCATAGTTTCTGCACAGACCATCTATCCAAGACTTCTGCATTGCATAATACATTGATTGGCAAACTCAACATAGACTCAATGTGGCATATATGTCCAAATTGTCAAAAATAATCTGTCCTCATGAGATTATATAAATTCTAGCCTTTTCTTGACTGGCTTACATAAACCAAAATGCACCTGATGCGTCACCGAAAAATGTCTCGCGAGCATTAAGCTTTCGGGGGATTTTACGTAAACAGGAGGAGCTGTGTATTCTGTTATCGGAAATATTCTGCCATCTAGTGGGGAGTCTGTGCGGACACATTATGAGGGATGCTTGTCAAATCAAATCAAAAGTAATTTAATGCTGTATTTTTAACGAATAAGTAATTTTCTTTGTAAAAATGTATACAGAATTATTTAACCTAGCTGTTAAAGATTTTTAAAAATATATATAAATCCAATAAATTATTTCAAAATTGTGGTGACGTGGATAACAAACTATGCAATTTAAATATAGGAATGTATTTAATAATAATAATAATAATAATAATAATAATAATAATAATAATAATAATAATAATAATAATAATAATAATAATAATAATAATAATAATAGTAGTAGTAGTAGTAGCTATTATAAATAAGTTAGCAATAAGTTAGTAATATTGATATTATTAAATACTATTATTACAATATAAGCTACTACTACTACTACTACTACTACTACTACTACTACTACTACTACTACTACTAATAATAATAATAATAATATAAAGGCTATTATTATTATTATTATTATTATTATTATTATTATTATTATTATTATTATTATTATTATTATTATTATTATTATTATTATTATTATTACTACTACTACTATTATTTATTAATTTTTTAAGTCAGGTTTTTTATGTATACATGCAGCAAAAATTTAAGGGACAAAATTTATCTATGTGTGACCCATCAATAAATTATTTTAAAATAATAAAAAAGAGGAAAACTTATTTTTCCTGGTTACTTACTGGAAACTACAGCGTCTTGTAGAATGTGTTTTGCAATAGTGATGAATAAAGTATGATAATTGACCAAGTAATTATGAATGTCCTTAAAAGTAGACTAAACCCATAAGATCGGAACCATTCGCGTTTTTTATACAGAGACTTACTTCTACTGGTATTCTAACCAGAAAATGCATGTAAAATGGGGAGATAACATCTCTGCTTCCTTTGGTGTTAGTAATGGTGTGCGGCAGGGTGGGCTTCTTTCACCTGCCCTGTTTAACTTGTATATGGATGACCTATCAAAAGAAATGAACCTCTGTAAAACCGGGTGTATGATTGGTGATACTTTGGTCAATCACTTTATGTATGCTGATGACCTGGCTGTTCTCTCACCCAGTAGTGCTGGTTTTCAGCAGTTATTGAATATCTGCTCTGATTATGGGTTGAGATTTGATGTGCAGTATAATGCTAAGAAAACTGTTGTACTAGTTTGTAGAACTAAAGCTGACAAACAACTCTGTTTCCCTGATTTTTTTCTGTCAGGGCAAAAGTTAGATGTTTGTTCCAAAACTAAGTATCTGGGTCACTACATCACAGACCAGCTCTCTGATGATGATGACATCTATAGGCAGTGTCGCATGTTATACGCCCAGGCAAACGTTTTGGGGAGGAAATTTCATATGTGCTCTGATGAGGTAAAAATAAGCCTGTTTAAAGCTTACTATACATCCTTGTATACAGCTCCTTTGTGGTGCAAATTTAAAAAAAACAAGTATGCAGAAGCTTAAGGTTGCTTATAATGACTCTTTGAGAATAGAATTTTGATCAAGAAACCCCGGTTCAGCAGTGCAAGTCAAATGTTCTGTAACGCATATGTCAGAACATTTCAGGCCCTTTTGAGAAATCTGATATACAAGTTTATGTGTCGTTTGGGTAACTCACCGAACAATCTTCTTGTAATGTTCTCACAGCCTTCTGTTAGTGCGCTAAGATACTAGTCGGCTCTTTGGAAACATTGGTATACAAGTCTTCTATAAGAATTATATTTATATTTTTTATGACTACTTATTGTATTTTATTTTTCATTTTCTCTTGTTTTTATGTTGTGTTGTTGTGTATCTTGTGGACCATGAGTCTGTTGAATAAAGTAAATTCAAAAAAATTCAAAATTCTAGTAAGCGACCCCTGGCGGAACGTTCGCCGTTATTTCCTTTTCCAGGACTCCGGAAACATTTAAAAGGCGGACATCTCTGGTGTCACTCCGTTACATTTCCGTCAAGCTAAGCACATTATGTTCACGTTCAGTATTGTGTTTTTATTTAATTGTGTAAGGTTGCTGGTTGAATTGCCTTGATGGACTGTGTGGAGCAGAGTAACGAAGCGCCTTCTGTTATCGACCGATATTTCACCCGGTGGTACAGAGCAGGTAACACTATAAATATTTAATAAAAAGCTAAATGTTCTTGTTTTTCTGTTTTTATATACTCCCTTTATGTTTTTTTAGATATGAAGGGCAAATCGTGTGAGGACCATTGCATCTTACAACATTCGAACAGGTAATTCGCTGATGTAATAATCGTCTATTTGAATTAGAATATCTGGACTTTAGATATTCCAGATATCTAAAGATTAGTCCAGATATTCTAATCTTATGATGATATCATAAGATAGAGCTTGAAAATAACTGAGTCTGATGATAAAGGCGCACCTTTGCAGTGATTTGTAAAAGTATTCATTACTAACAAACGTCAGTGTAATTTTTCTCCCAAATGTTTTATTATTATTATTATTATTATTATTATTATTATTATTATTATTATTTTATTTTAGCTCAACAAAAATCTGAAAACGGTTGTGTGACTTTGGTCCTCTTTACACCCTACATAAATACAGACAGTATAGACTGCTGAGTTTCTGCTCAGTATAAATCTCGATCTTTTGTGAAAGCCCTCAGATTTGCTTGAGGATATTGGTGAATATCCTGCATTTTTGAAGTCCAAGAAGCACAATAGACCAGCCAGTGCTAAACTTGAGAAGTTTAAAGCAGACTGAGGTTATAAAAGCTGTTTTAATATGAACAAGAAAATGGTGTGGCCCAACTGCAAACCTATTAAGACATGTTTGTCCACTTGAACTTAGATGCTGGCAAGGGCAGTGCTAAGCAGCTGAGAGGCCTTCGGATATCATGGAGATCCACACTTCAAGTGGGAGAATCTGTGGATAGAAAAATTATGAGTTGTGTACTACACAAACGGATCTTTTTGAAAGATTCATAAAAAGACGGCAACAGTTTAAAGAAAACCATTGCAAGGTCAGTTTTTATTTTGGCACAAGCCATGCAAACTTGTGGAAGAACATCAGATTAAAACTGATCTTGCCAGATGTCCGGTGGATGTCTGAGCACTGCACCCTGAGCACAACGTCCATACCTTAAAACATGGAGGCGCTTGGTATGATGTTGTGGCCTCCGCTAATAAGTTCTGTGGTATCCGGCAGCCGTTTTTGGACCAGCTTTCTCAGTCTAAGGTTGACCCCGATGCTCGCTCAACCTCTTAGTATTCCAACCGTGCCTTTATGGACTGGTAGTACCATCCTAAAGTGGAAATGGTAATGAGTGCAGTGTAACAAGTTATTTAGACAATCTCCCTGACTTATTCTTTTTTTTATTTTTATTTTATGTTTAGTCATTTTATGATTTTATTTTTATTGTTGTATAAACCAGAGCACTGATCTAAACATTTTGCTTTAGATCAGAGTGTATTCATATGTTGAAGTCTCCCATGGTATTAAAAGTACAGTCCTAATTCAATTTCATTTTTTCAAACCATTTAATTCTAAATCACATTTGAGCCCAGATTTGACTTCCATAATACTGTAGAAAATTCTACCTATAAACAAATTGTCAAAATACAATTTTCCTATTGCAGGTTGTGCGTTGTGACCTTAGCAGAAACTCATCCGATACTTCAGGATGGACGCGCAATCAAAAGCATCAATTACCAGATCAGTAACGGCTGCAGTCGCTTGAATAATAAAGTGTCTGGGAAGTCCAAGCGGGTAAGTCATAAAGCTTCAGATGTTTTTGGTAGATGTGTATAGAAACTGTTTTTAAACCCAAATTTCTGGTATGTTTTTCCCCTCTGACAATAGGGGGCGCAGTTCCTTACAGATTTTGCACCTTTGTGCAGAATAATGTGCTCAGATGACATGGAGTACACAATCTACAGGTACACAATCTCCTCCCCACTCCCCCCTTGTGAACATATTGTTATTTGACTCTTTGCAATATATTTTTGCTGTCGTTTCAGTTGCATAAGGGGGCGTCTTCTGGAGGTCAATGAGAACATTTTAGAAACCCCAAATCTCTTGCTAGAAAAGGTAAATTATATTACATCCATCATAGATTGAGTCTGTAAACTAATAACTCGAAATATAAGCCTTTTTCCCCCCTTACTTCATGAAACAAAGTGCTTGAAAACATTTTTCTCTTTTGTCATCAACTCTGTCCAGCCATCTACTGAAGGATATATTGCTGTCATCCTTCCAAAGTTTGAAGAAAGCAAGAGCATAACTGAAAACCTCCTGACAAGAGAAGAGTTTGAGGTTGTCGTTTCCAAACGCAGTTTGTCACAACCCCCCTGATGGATCATTGAAGACTAACCTGATCCGGGAGTTTCTTTGGTTTTCTTCTCTCACTCTCTCTCTCCATGTTGGTTCAAAACAAAGACTGAGAAAGTTGACTGACTGATTCTCCTGTAAGACACTTTTATGCAACATAAGCAAAGTGCCTTCAGTTTATCATGTTACAAAGACTCCAGGATGTTTTCAGCTTAAAAGTGCTTTGATTGTGACTAATTTTTTTTATGTTATTTGAGTAGTAAGTAAGTGAAAACAACAAAGTCTTCTGTGAAATGCTGCAAATAATTTTCAGGTGTTTTTGTTGTATATAAAAATCAAACAAATGTATGAAAAATATTTTTTATTTATTTTCTCACCCTTTTATCAACCTTTCAACAAAAAAAATAGATGGTCCAAAACAATTTTTTTAACATTTAAATTTGTGGTGGCATCATAATGTCCAGAATATCTAGTTGCTCTCCTAAAAGATACATAATTTTCCTAAAGCCTACTATGTATTGTAGATTTGAATCACTATCTCCTGCTCTCACAGTACCAAAGTGATAACCTTCAGATTCCCATTAACTGCTTTAAGTACCACACTATATATTTAAACATCTCATAAACTATAATACATATTGGCTTGTTTGGCAGCTTCACACTGATAGTCTTCATAACAAGTACACTTGAAGGTTCTATTCGATGCCCGTTCACAACTCTTAAATCTGACGGATGATTTGGTTTCGCTTTACATGCTTTAAAATAAAATCCTGATTCCTCAGCAGCTTAAATGACCAACTCCAGCTTTTTCTTGTCACTCAAAGGAAAAAAAAAATATCTCTGCTAATGTTTCTCAATCATTTGGCATAAATCCTAGTTTTCTATTAACATGTCACATGGGGAATGCTCTATAGTAAATGCTATGGCAAATAGTGTAATTTTTTTTTCTTCTTTCTTTTTTAATGTGATCTGTTTGGAAGTGACATTATGGCAGTTACATATGTTACCACCATGCTTGTGCAACACAGTTACAATACACCAAAAAACAAAGGGGGGTCAGGACACACAGGGACGTTGCGACAACAGATGTGTGGCTGAACTATGACTCACAGCCTGGAGAAGTTTTCAATCTGCTCTCAATATTTTTGAGGTCTGGATAAGTATGGAAAATTGTTGGATATCCCAGTTTTACTTTTCCATCTAAGGTATTTTCAGTCCAAGAATTCTTAAAGATACATTGATTTAACCTCGAATTACATTTATTATCTTTGAATAGACTCGTCACACTTGATTTTATTGTTTCAGCATTTTAGTTTTTTACTTAATGACTGAATCCACACTCAGAATTTAAAAAGGGGGCAATCTTTTTATTTATTAATTTTATTTTTGTCCAATTAGAATGGCCTATGTGGTTCTTAAGGTTAGTGGGATTATAATGCCAGACAAAGAAGAACTGCAGCATTTGGTACCAAAGCACACAAATGGTGCTTTAAATTATCTGCTTTTAGTCTGACACTTTGACAAATCCAGGAGTTAAAGATTTTGAAAAAGTCTTCATGTAATACAGCCCAGATGCCCCTAAACCACACAGAAAACTGGTGGCCAATTTCATGACCTCATTTTTGTTCAGTTTATCTACAGAATGCTAGAAAAAAAAATAAAGCTGAAAGTGTATAACATTTGAATATGAATGTTGAGGAACCCTGAAAATCAAAATCAAGTCAGAAATCAGTTTCATTTTAAGACTGATTGTTGACTAGTGGTTCATGCTAAGTACCTAAAGTGGAGTGAATCCACATACAGAGCTTCAGTTGGCATTTCTTTCTTGGCACACCTTCAGAGTCATCTCCCACGTGCCAACTTCAATCTATCTGACCCATAGGCAGCCATATTTGCCTTGTAGTTCAAGTCCAGGCTACAGTGGTAGGAGGGGATGATGGGATAATTTCACAGAGGTAAGGTTGGTTATGTGGTGCTCTGACAACAACAGTGGAATAAAAGAACAAGGAGACATTCTCCAGGATTATTTGCTCTCCAGGAGGTTTAGCCCGGCCATGTGCTGTTCCAGGGATTTGACTCCAAAGCCGTTTGTGTTTTTGCTGCTGAGAGCGCCCTCCTCTTTGACAGGCGTGGATGCGTCCGGTCGTTCTCCCCAGTCCTGCAGGGAGCTGAGGCTCGTCCTCTCTGACTTGTACTGCAAATTCAATGGGATAAATAAATAATTAAACATGAAGAAAAATGCGTCTGTTTTCAGACATTTTCAGCTCCTTTAATGGGTTAAAATAAGAATAAAAGATGCTCATTTTGCTTTAGGTTAGGATTTACAGTATATGAAGCTGATTTCTATTAAATCCATCAAACCAAACAAATGTTGAATATGTTCTGAAAATAGTTCTTGTATCAAACTGAAGCCTAAAATTGGCTTGTTTAATATAAAAGAACCTCTTTTTGAATCTGTTATTTTAGACCATTTCTGACAAAAGATTATAAAGAGTATAAAAATTCTTTAATTAGCAGGTTCAATGAATCCATTTAGTGAGTCACAGGCTCAAATTAACCAGAATGATAGAGATGATAATTAACAAACCTTTTATATGCTAATGCATATAAAAGGTTTTTAGTCTTGAAACTGTTTCATTTAAGAAGTTTTTTTTTAACATAGGAAAAAGATAGCATATTGTGGATGGAACATCTATTTTTTTAAATCTCTAACAATGGTGTGTGAGAATTTTGTTTGTTATAAAACAAGTAACCGGCCTGTAATACTATTAAATAATACAATAATGAAACCCTGCTTAGGTTTCATTGAATATCACTTTGATGGTAAGATTTTAATTAGGATTTGTCTGGTAATGAGAATTGATTATGCTTCAACTTGACTGTCCATCTTTTTTTTTTAATATGTAAATGTAGCTGTTTTGTTATTTACAAAAGGACTAATTTCTTTCTGACAAAAAAAATATATTTGCACTAAGATGAGTAAATCTGAACTTTTAAAAGCATAATACCATTTTCTACAGGTGAAAGATGGAGAACTTGTTAAAATCCAGCTGTTTCCCTGAGGCAAACAGATGGATTTGCCTCAGGGAAAATATTACTTCGACTTTCTAAAGAGCGCTAGATAAAAAAAGCGTACTTTTAACTTAAAGCAGCATGTGGACATTACCTTTTTATTTAGCTTATTCATAATGGGAAGGAGGGAGAGGACCACAGTCATGATATTTCTGGTTGTCTGAATGGATGAGTCTACCTGCAGACAAAGAAAACATCAAATCTGTTAGCAAGATATCTCTGACAGGGTTCAAATTGTTCAGTTAAACTTTCCTCTTGTTCCTGACCATGTAAGGACAAAATCTTTGCATTAGAGAAGACTCAACATATGTCAAGAACACAACCCTCAAATAACCCTCTGCAACTGTCAATTTCTTTTATTTAATAAAAGTCCATCAAGCCTGGCATTTTTTTGTAACAGTGAGTAAACAAACAAATATTGGAACTAAATTAAAATTCTAGATATTTTGACACAATTTAAATCAACTTAATATACAAACAAGTCAGTGAATAAATATCTATATATGTGATAGTTGACATAAAATAATATGGAAATTAACTACATAAATCCAATGATTTATAATTATTTAAATGTCTCCAAAAGTCTTAAAGATACACATTTAATAAAGTATGGAGCCCATATTTTATCAAATAATAAAAATATGCAACAATATAAACGTAACAATATAAATAATTTGTCTTGTGTTGCTGCATTCTGGGAATTTATTTAATATCCACTGAACAGGTTAACCAATCAGATGTCAGAATCTGTTTTACAGGCCAACTACTAAATTAAAACCCTGTAACTATCAAGATAACAACAGTGTCCTCATGGTCCCAGTGACTTCTGTCTGAAACTGAAGTAAAATTGATACTGGAGAACTTTTTAATAGCTGTAAACCTTGTGCAACACAAAGTAACTATATTTCCTGAAAATAAACAATAAAATCAAAATCCTAACAGGTGTAGTATGATTACCTTCTGGAAGGTGGCAGTCTTGCCCTGTACAGGAGTTTTGGCCCCCATCTGCAGCTGTTGGCACAACACCACCAGTTTCTCCGTTTCTGTGATCACCACAGACTTTTCCTCATCAACCAGCTGGAACAGCGAGAATGAGACAAAAACAGTGGAAGGGAAAGAAAGAGAGAGTCAGAGATGTCTTTCAGAACTGCAGAGATTTTCTACAGGAAGTCAGGGTGAATGTGTGAATTTACAGTGCTCTTCCTAGACAAAACATGGATAGTAAAAAAATAAATAAATAAACAGATTAAAATGATACAGAAAATCAGAATTGGTGGCTCTAATCCATCAGCAACAGTGATGAACTGCCTTATTCTTTTAAAGCAACTGGGTTAATCCCCAGATCTACCTCACTTACATGACTGAAGTGACATTTTTTCACTGACAAAAGCACAGAGCAGCTTGGTTTGACAGGGAACTATCTGAATGTCGATGCTTCATCAGTAACACTTTGCCCCTTGATTATGACTTTGTTGAGAGTCAAGCACATGGCACCCCCCTCACATCCCCACGTGCACAGCAGCACAGACACCCACACCCGCATGTGCTGCAGTGACAAATGGCAGTCGTTAAATCCTGTCAAAAAGAGCCATTTAAATTTACTCGGAGGACGTGGGTAAGGAGTTGGTCGAGGGCGAGAGGAAGGAAGCCACAGAGGCTGTGTTTGTTGTGGGATCTCTGCTCTCGGGAGGGAAAGAGGTGTGTGACAGCCTTAATTTCCTGCTCTTGTAGTGTGATTTATAAGGCAGACTCAATAAGCAAGCAATGCCAGGCTGGGTGATGTGGGTGTGTGAAGAAGTGAGAGGTGCATTTGAATTGGACTAATCTCCTAAAGTCTCTTGGAACATAACAGTAAAATAATATGTTCAAAATATTAACATTTTGTCCGCTTTAGGTTGAAATCGACCCTTATGGCACTCCAGTTTCACATTGTTTAATAGAGCTAGTGTGTTGTTGACCCTGTATTCAATGGTCAATAACTATCCAACTTGTATTTTCTTTTTTACAAAATAATTATATTGCATAAAGATCAACACACTTGGCTTTTGTGTCATGACATATGTATACTGGTTCATTGATAATATTACAAACTTAAAGTTGCTGGAAATTATGATTATCTAAAATGTTAGGGTATAAAATGGAAAAGAATTGTTGTTCAATCATGCTGCAAGGGTTATGTCAATGCTGAGTTTTAGATTAATAAAACAAAGCCAAACATAAATGCTGGAGTCAAACGTTTGGAGCATTTGACTCCAGGATTTTTGGGCATTATGCTTGAAAACTGGTGGGAAGAATGTCAATCAATGTAATTCTTATGAAGTATGTTGAAGATATTAGGTATTATACAAACAGTAAGAAAAGAAACATAACACTAACCTCAACTCAGGCACAATATTCCTTACAATGACATTCAGAAAAATAAGAAGAAAAATAATCACTTTGATGTCAGTGTATCATTTGCACTATGAGCCAGAATATTTACCTGAGAGGAAAATGTACGAAGAGATGAACAAAGCTGAAGTCCCTCTTCAGACAGAACCTTGAAAATAAGTTAAAACTTGCATAAACACAAGAAAATCAAAACATCTTGAATAACTTAGTTCTTCTTTTCTGTATGCCTTCCCTTTTCTTCTCATTTCTCTTTCTCTTTTATCTCTTTTCATCCCAAACTGAATTAATCTTGTGTGATATATGGTGCTGTGGTTTTACAAATGACTCTATGTTACAGGCAATAATCTAAGCTCAATATGATACACCCCTGCACAGAGCTGCATCGCCCCTTCTCTCCGACACAGCCAGGAAGCTTCTGCATCGCCTTCCCAGCAACATTAATATATTGTTGACATCTGCTGTCAGATCTGAAAAGGGGTTAATGAATGAATAGCTGTGTGCCTTTACTGACCTATTGATCTTCCTCCTCAGTGTGGTAGAATAACACATGCATTTATCTGCAACTTCAATAAATTGAGGTGGAAAAAGAGAAGACGGGGAGAGGAGCCGGGAAAGTTAGAGGACGTGGATGTCATTACCTCAGCTTGATGAAAAAGATCCAGAGTTGTCTTCAACAGCCCCTCCCCTCTGTGGTGTCATTAATAAAAATAATAACATAGATTAGAAAGATGGACAAGGACAAACTATGTTCAGCGCCACGAATAAAAAGTGTAAACAAATCACTATAATCCTAATATTGTGTCACCATTTCCCGATCCTCAAAATGTGCTTTGTAAATATTGATGGCTTGGGGATTGAGAATCTCATTAACACTAAGCCTCAGAGGAGATTCATGTGGCTGCTTAGATTGTTTTTTTCTCCTTCTTCTTTTGTTTTTTTACAATATATAATTTGGAAATGATTGAACCAGTTCAGCTAACTCCAGATGGAGCACCATTCTAATTCATCGGAGCCTCTTGTGAAAATGTGTCAGAAGCCATAGAATAATCTAACAGAAAATTAAAATTCAGTTTCAGTGACACTACAAATTTTCAACAGACAAAACAATCTCATATAAAGAAGTCATCAGATTTCAATAAGCAAAATCTAAAGCTACTGTTTTCCATCTACTTTGGGTATTTTGAAACATAATTTGTCGAACGTAAAGTCTTGTGATGTCTTTAAAGTACGTGCATCACTTTTTATGCGCTTGTGTTGTAAAACGTTCTGCAGATCAACCAAATGGAAGTCGCAGTGTCCTTTTGTTTTATGACTGGATACGTCACACACAAGAAAGGACACAGGATTCTGAAAAACTCTAATAAGGATGGAGTTTTTCTAAAACATTATCTTTCAGGAATTCTTATACATATTTTGTAGTAGTCCCAATAAATATATTGACGGCTTTGTCTACTGCACAAGAGTACTGTTGGGTACCTTGTGAACAGGTACATGTTGTACGCCATGCTGGCGAGGCTCTGGCTCTGCCGCACTATGTCATGTTCCTGCTCCTCCCATTTCTCCACCTCCGAGTCCACATCTGATGAGAGCAGACGAAGCTCCAGCCCCAGCTTGGCCATGCTTGTCTGCTCCTGCACCCACAGAGATACACACAGAGCAACTGAGGTTATTTTGGAAATGCAAATGAGCACTTCCACTTGTGGATGGCCTGCAATAAACTTCCTACTGCTTCTTTTGGTAAAATGCAGCTAAGCATTTTTTCCCCCATATTCTGGGGGGAAAAAAAAACATCTTCAAGAGAGTGAGGCTAACCCTGTTGGTGATGAATGTGCTGCTGCTAGAGCATAGAAAACATGATGTTATTAAGTGTAGCATGTAGTGAGGGCTACCTCTGCATCCAACTTGACAGCCTTGGCAGTCTTCAGATTAGTTGAGTGTTTCTGTGGAACAAAAAATGTGGTGTCATTAATCAAAAGGCAACACACCATTGCATCACTAAAGCATTTATAAAGATGAACACTGTGATACACACCCCAGGTCTTGGAAGAGACAGATAGGGCCTTTTGTCACCTAGAAGAAGACATTTATTATGATTATCATACATTATAATCTTGACAAAAGATTGAGGTATATGATATGGATGCTGCTTTTGCTTATATGACATATCATTTTATCACTGTCTACTTTTTATGCATTTTTATCTAGCTTAATAAAGTTTATTGCCACATTTGTAATAAAAGACATGGAAAAACCCCATTATGGTACCCATAAAGCATTTTAAGACGTCGTTTTGACTTGACAATGGACACAATCCTTGACCCATCTGAGGGAGAGTTCAAATCATGTCAAACTCTACCGCATTCCAGCATTAAAACAGCAGAGCATTAAAAGGAGTTTTCTTCTTTGTATGCTTTAAATAAATAAATAAATCTGTAATGTGTGAAAATAGTTTTGCCCCTTTTCAGAGTCTCATGTCTGGCTGATTTCCTATCTAAATATTTTTCAGACAATGAACATTTTTTTTTATATCAGACAAAATGAGAACAAATTCATAAAGGAGTTTTCAAATTATTAATTCATTTTATTAAGAAGAAAAAAATAGCCTGGCCGTTGGTAGTAATGTAGTTGCACCCCTTGTAAAGTAAAAAAAGTATTACAGTTAACTCCATTTTAATTTCAATTCTACTAACGCAAATCTATTGCACTCCAGTCTGATTACCGCCTGACCTGTAGAATCAAGAAATTACTGTCTGACAACATGGAAGAGGCTATAATGTTTAACAAAGCAACACATCACACCAGGATCCAAAGATATGCAGGAACACGTGAGAAACGAAAGTTATCAACACAGACTGGAAAGAGTTACAAAACTGTTTCTGATAAATTGGGACTCAAATGAACCACATTTAGAGCCATTATCCTTAAATGGAGAAAACGTGGAAAAGCTCTTCAAAAACAAATGGCTGACTCATGTATGAGGTCTCAAAAGAACCTGGTAGAACATCTGAAGCACAGCAGATCTCAATTACCCCAATTAAGGTCATTGTTCACGATTAAACAAAAAGAAAGAAACTGGGTAGAAATTAGAGATCCCCAAAAAAAGGTCTTGATTAGTAGTGCTGCGAAAATATTCTGTGGACTAATAAGACGAAGGTTTAACATTCTGAAAGGTGTCCCTCCGTTACAACGTTTTGTAAAACTAACACGGCTTTGGGTTGGCTTTGCTCTTTGAGGATCTGACCGACATGATGTAATTGTTGAAAAATCCTTGAGTGTCAGAGTATGACCTTCATTCGAAGATTAAAGAAATGTTTCATTGTGACAAAAAAGCAATGTGGAAATACTTTTTTTCAACATTTAACTTTTTCTTGAGCTCTCAGAGTTACTTACTGAGAGTTTCAGTGAGTAACAATAAGTAAAGACACGCAGAGCAGAGAAGAAATGAATGCATAGAGGTTCAAGGGCAGTGATGATAACTCTTGCATAAAATACTCCCTACGTCATGTGATGATTCATTTAAAAAAAAAAGTCCACACTGCTTGCAGTGTCTCAACTTTCATTCATATTTGTGAAAGATTTCAAGGACAAAATGGTTCATCTGAGCTTTAACAGAGAATGTTATTATTTCCAGTGAAAAGATAATCAAGCGGCAAGACCATCAGCTGTAGCCTGAAAATGTATTCACTTGGGCCAGACCAAAAGGTAGTGCCTTTTTACTCAATGTTTAATTTAGTTTGAAAAGGCTAAAATATCAGAAGACGGATTTACATATAGATCTAAAAAGAAAACTTTGCTAACTTAATTGTCTACAGATTCTGCAGATTCAAACGCACATTTCTGGATCTGAAAGCAAAACAGCAACCAGCACAATTACGCTTGTTTACAGCAAGCATCAATTAATTGTGAGCCCACCTCGTCTTCCTTCAAAGACGTCATTGATCTCTTTGAGCAGCAGGGCCATGTCACAGAGCTGGGAGTCCCAGGCCTCGCAGAACACCTCCAGGTTCTCTTTAGCAATCTTACTGGATGGATGAAGGGCCAATGTCTGGGCAGCTGAGATGATCTAAGAAAGTGAAGAAATATCACTTTTACTGTTATGGTGATCAGCTGAAATGCCCAAAGAACTTGTTAGTGATCAGAGGCAACTTATTTTCATCTTGAACGCAAAAAAAAAAAAAAAAAAATCTCTTTCCTGAATTGTGAACCCGCCACAGCGCGCACCCCTGAAACGCTCTCTTTATTGTGGAAGTTGTTACTGACTCAGAGCTGGCTATTTTCAGTATTTGAGACATTTTTTAAAAATAAGTGAGAGGAAGTGCATACATTGTTATATTAAAATCCAATTGCAATTATTGGTAAAGCTAATTTTAAATCAAAGCTTCCCTCCACTTTAAAAACCGTTTTGTGCGATACATGAAAAATTATAAAATTGTTTGAGATTAAGCTTGGCTCTCTCTTCCACATTGTACTGAAACATTGTTAGTTGTGGTGATTCACTTAACAGGCTGAAGGGTCCCAAATCAAACTCTAAGACCCGATACAACCGAGCCGGCCCTGGAGAAACCTTTAGTTCATATTTAAAAAGAAACAAAAGTACAAAAAATATTAAAATTCTTATGTTTCTGATTAATAATGTTACAATTTCATCTTATTTCTTCTCAAGAACCCATATTGTGTATCACTATGTCTCCAGAGCTGCGTACTTTGTTATACCCTAACTTAAACACATCCGCCACCTACTGTGTTGGATTTAATTGGCAATTACCCTGTGGGCCACCCCTGCATTAGCCTAAGCGGACACAGACAGATATCACCAGCCCTGGCCTGTATCACAGCATTATTGATTGGGTGACCCTTGAACTTAGGAGCCGAGTCATTACTGCAGAGTCGTGTGGAGCCTGACATTAGCACCGTGGGACAGGAACAGTCCACACTGCTGGATAATTACTGCCACAAATGGTTTTCAAGAGCAAATATAATTAGATATGTGATAGGTGAACAGCATGTTCTGAATGGATTCGAGGTGCAAAAGGCACCAAGAGGAGAAGGGAAATATGTCTCCTTCTTTTCCTCATCACCATCGCATTTACTGGTTTAACTTTTGCATTCAAAACAATATGTGATCATTCCAGTTAATCCTATATACAAAGTGTTAAATGGACAATGGATTGTTTAAACAAAGACAAAACAAATTTCTTTCTGCTGTCCCTGCCACACCGCACCGATATAACACAACATCATAATGTACAGTGAAATTTGTTACACTACCTGTGGACCAATGACATGAAAGGTCTCCTCTGCGTGTATACAGGTAATCTCTAATGGCTCCGTCCCCGACACATGGCACAACAATCTGCATGTCTGGAAACAAACAAGAGATTTAATCTCTTTTATTCGTCATAATAAATGATTTGTCAGTGAGACAAGGTAAGTACACCCTATTTTGGTTGAGAGGTTTTAAAAATCAGGACATAATGAATGTTTTTATTCTTCCTATGTAACTAAAGCTTAACATGTCCCTATTTTGAAGCAGCGCAAGACAAATGATGTACAATCAGTGGAAGACTTCCTGACCCTAAAGCTTTAAAGCTAGGGTATGTAACTTTTACCAAAAAAAAATGTTTTACATTGTATATTCCAATAAAAATGTTTTACTTTTTTTTTTGTTGTTGTTTTACAACGATTCCTTGGGAACATATTAATTTTTTTTTTTTTTTTTTGCATTACCTTGCAATAAATATTGTGTTCTCTTGCAATAAATTAGCAAATACACCCTGGTCTATTTTGTAGACCATAACAGTGATAACAAATGTCAATTTATATTTTCAAATACCTGTAAAGAGCCTGTTCATACATTCTTAACTCTGCGTGTCTGTCTCATTTTATGCCATCACGACATGGTTACAGTTTTAACAAATATGTGAAAAACGGTTACATACCTGAGCTTTAAGGTCATAAAACAAATTTAAATGTCTGAATTAGAATTAAAAGCAACATTTCAGATTTCATTTGTTGAGAGAAAAATATCCAAATCAATCTGGACATTTGTGGAAAACATAATTACCCCAAAACAAAGAACTGGTTGAGCCACTTGTCCTATGTTAAACCATGGCCCCACAAAATTTTTATTTTTTAAGTTTAAATGAATGAAGTGGGTTTTGGTTGTGATCTAGATGCACAGGAACAAGAAGAAAATGGCTCTTTAGACTGTAAGAGTTGCTGATTGGTGAAACAGGGAGTCGTGGATTGCCAATTAAAATGCTTATTTTATGGAATTTGTTAAGGGTGTCATCAACTAGGTATACTATTGAGTTTCTGAAAATCAATTATTAAAACATCACATTTCATGTGATGTTTTAATGTTCTGTATATGGAGAATATACAGAAATGTATATGCTCTACACCAATTCCAAAGGCATTAAAACAATGAGTCATCCAAATATAATCCTAACTCTATCTTTCCATGGAAATAAGAGTTTCCCCTTTGTTGCTGACCCAACCCACCTCCACCAGCTGCTCCTTCTGCTCAGTGAGCGTCCGCGAATACTCTGCCACTGCCTCCAGGTTCCCTTCGGCGCCAGCAGCTTTGAGGGCCCTCAGAGGCAGATGCTCGCCGTGGGCTTTCAGCAAGTCGGAGGCGCGGCCCACCGCGACCTTATGGAGCTGGATGGTGGGGAATCAAGAGGATAAACAGTGGTGTGACAGAAAACGGGAGAGACAAATGTGCTTGATGAACTTCACTGGCTTCTGTTTTACAGAAAGCCGAGACAGAGAGACAGGCAGAAGTGACAGTGAGATGACAGGAGCAGAAGAGGTGAAGTGTGGCAATATTAGAGAGAGAGGAGCCGAGCTACAGGTGCTGAGCAGCTCTCGTCTCTGTCTGTGAGGGTCTTAAGTTTTGGAGACAGATTGCTGCTCACCTCTCGTCTCAGGTCACTGATGCTCTGGCACGTCTTCAGAATGGCCACCTCCAGCTCCTCTGTGGCCTCTTTGGCATGAACAGACTGCTGCTGTGATGACGGACACAGAGGACAATAAACATGTGACATGAATACAAACACGCAAGCCTACATGTTAATCTCATAATTCAAACCAAAAAAATTAAATGCCAAATGAGTTTGTTTTCAACTCTCTCTAACATTTGTGAAATACAAAAGGCCCACAGCATTTCAGTTTGTAATTTTGTCCAATGAGTTAAGTAAAGCCAAATGATGTAATCTACAAATACCACACAATTTTCAAAATTTTAGAGAAGCCGTTGAAATAAAACCGAAGCCAAAGCCATCACGCGCAGTCTTAAACCTGGGCAGTATGATAACACGCAAATATTATCCTTCTATCATATGAGCACTGCAGCAGCCCCGTCTTTTCAAATCTCTACACGACCTTCAATTGGAGGGGATTAGATGAGCCACTACAGTACAATTATGCAGCTGCAGGCTCTCTGTGCACACTGCTAGAAGTTTACAGAGACGAAAAAGCTGCGGCATAAAGACTCATTGCATTTTGCAAGTCTGACGCTTTTTGAAACCAAGGAGATTTCTGGTGACTGTAACGGAAAACTGTGTTCCGATTCCACGTTGAGTGAGCTTTGGTAAGAAAAAAAAATAATATATATTATTATTCAGGTGGGTTACTGTGCAAGAAGGCTAATCAAGAGTGCGAGAAAGGATGCTGTGCTTCTGTCGATTTCAGTCTGCAGGTGGAACATACCAACACTGCCGCAAGAAAATGATGTGTGAAAAAAATTTAATAAAGCATTTTGCACATTTTTAGTTTTCACTCACAAAACGGTTAAATGAGAAGTAGCAAAACACTTAGCGAAGATGAAAAAAGCCTAAGTTCAGTTCAAAACCATAAATCGAAGAGTCTCGAGGCCAAAAAGCTGTAAAATTGTCTGTTTTGATTTTTGAATGGACTTGCATTTATTTATCTGTTGGCTCTGTTAATAATCTAAAATCCTAAGCAATCAATTGCAGAAGACAAAAACTATTCAAATGTAAAAGGACTTAATCTAAAGTCAAAAAATGAAAATAAACAGCCCAAAATATATTCCAATAACAACTTTAATCCTGTAATAGGAAGACTATTCTAAAACTTGGGCATTTCCCCCAATGTTACCAGACTTTTAAAGACGGTAAAAAAAACTGTCTTATTTAGGGTGTGTGAAAACGAATGTTAATAAGAACAGCTTTTTCTTCTACTCCTAAAGCGACAAAAGTTGTTTGCTTTTCTACTTGTTTATCAGAAACACGCTGCAGCCTCTGCTTAAAAGCCAATAGAAAACTCATTACGGTTCAACATGTGCATCAACTCTGTTGTTTATTATTGCTGTGAAATGTCAACAACACAGAAAGAGCCCGTGTTTTACATAGATACATGTGAGTTATCTACAGCAGTACTATATTCTTGCTGTCACTAGCAGATGATGAAAAATGTCACCAGTTTCCAAAAAGATGGTTTGGGCTGAGTTCATATTATATGATGTCTAATGAGTTTGAAAGTGATAATGAATTAATCTTCCATTGCAAATTTGGAAGTGAAAGACATAGAACAATCTAAATTTTAATTTGAGTATTCTGACTTCATGGCAAAAGAAACTGAAGTGTTGATTTTCCTTTGGTTGGGGTTTTTGGGAGATTTTGATGTGACAAAGAGCTCCAGTTCAATTCACCTTTATCGGGAATGCACTCATGGTGCGACACAGTAGTATATTTCCCTGTTACAGCAGGCAACACAGTCATATGTAAAAGCATAAAGTTGTCATAGTAAATGAAAGAGAAGTTGGCGAAAGTCGAGACATTTTCTGTTCGTTTTTCATTTGTTTAAATTACACTATTCTGTCTTTTGAAACAAATGTCATCCCACTATGCCCAATTTTTTGTTTTTTATTCATTTGTGCTGTAGCAGGGATAGATAAGGAAATATATGAGCAAACATTTAAATAGAAAAAAAAAAAGATATCCAACTCAATTTGGCCTCAACTGTGACCAAACAGAACAAAAAGTCCCATTTCAAAGTTGACAATAAGCATCAGCATTATTTGGAAAAAATATTCTGTATCTTGAAGTGACAAAAATGAATCTTTATGAAAGATCTATGTGTCCTGCAACAAATGGCATAAACCAACACAAAAAAAGAACTGACAATCAAACATGGTTGCAGTGTTTAAGACACAACTTTAAACAGCCAATTCATAGTCAAAAACCAAGGATGCTGAATTACAGTAATTCAACAAGAAACAGTGGGACAAAATTCCTCCAAATTGACTCCCTAAAGACTCCCAGGTGTAGCGGGTGCTTGATGAAGAGCAATTACTTTCCCACAAAGAGCCAGGATGGTTTTGGATAAATGTTTCCTGAAATTCAATTATCATATGAATATATATTTACATGGTAAAGACTAGATATGTACTGTGGTCCAGATTCTCAGACATATCCAATCTGTTTAAAAACAGCCTTTTTGCCAAGTTAACAGGCCCTTATATCTTTTGACTCACAGCTGTCCTTTTCTGTTGTTTCCAACAGAGAAAATAGGAAAACTGCAGCAAGTTTTTAGTGCAAGAGATACTTTACAAATTTAGAAGTTGTCCCCATATTTGTGGAGGGTATTGTTTGATATTATGTTTCATTTTTTAAGAATAATCTCTTACAAAGAGATCTGATTCTGTCCACTGACTGATGCATTTTGTTTCAATCAGTAGTAATAAGGCCATGTTTTATGCGACTAAACGCAATTGTTGTGTTTTTTCAGTCATTCGAATGATAATTACACAAATGCGTTACATTGGAGGAACTCTGTATTTTCCTCACTCAGTTTCGTACTGCTTTTCAAACACTTCTGCAGGTACGAACGTGAGACTGCGCCAACGTACCACCTCGATCCAGGCGTGCACCAGCTGCTGGGTGTCCTGGCGGGCCAGCTGGCACACGCTGAGGATGGCCTGCCGCTGCTCATGACTGGTGTAGGGCGAATCGGTGAAGTCCTCGGTGCGCTCCACCAGCGTCTCCAGCTGACTGGCCATGATCTGCGGCGTCGAAGAGTGCAGGTTCTCTCTAAGGCACTCAACGCTGCCCTGCAGAATGGGGAGCAAGAGCAGGGTTTATACAACATGAATAAAAAGGGTGCTTTTGCGTAAAAACAGCCTTTACATACTACTTCTTCTTACTCAAAAAACAGAACAACTAAAGCACTCCCCCTTTAAATTTTTTTATTTCTCTTTCTTCAACAAAGAGCTCATTTTAAGAGCATCTGCTTACATGCTGAATGAAGATCAGTTTACATAACTTTTACTAAAGTTAACCATTAAAACACTGTGAACCCTGAATTAAAGGCAACAGCAATCTCAAGGGCTGTCATTAAATACTTTCTCTCTTTGAGGAGCTGCCCTCAAAGTGCTTTGACGCAGGTTCATTTCTTTCATCTTCCAGCGGAGAGAGCAGATTAGCAAGTGCAATGGAGGGCTTCTGTGGCAATTTACACAACTGTATTAACAGAATTACAAAGTGAGAACGTGTGCACCGCAGTTCTGATGGGCTGAGTCTCATCTGAAGCTTCGACAAACAATGAATGCACGTGCGCCGGTAGTTACTCTGCAACCGCAATCTGCCTCAACTTTTCCCAGTCACAAACTTCAATGCATCTTACTGGGATTTTATGTTGTAAAATGCTTTTACAAATTATAATCTGAAAACTGTGGCAAATATTTGTATTCAGTTTCCGTGAAAAAAAAACAACTAAACCCTTTCATAGAAAATCTTTTGGGACATGTCTCTGCCAGTTTTGTGCATCTAGAGACAGAAACTTTTACCCATTATCCTTTGTCAAACAACTGAGGATGGAGAGAATGGAGAGAATCTGTGTGCATCAAATTTCAAGTCTTACAACAGAGTTAGGTTTAAATCTGAACCATGACAGGAACGCTGCAGCAAAACAGAAATACTTTGATCTAATCCACTCCATTGTAGCTCTGGCGCCATGTTCGCTGTTTTTGTCCTGCTGAAAGGTGAATCTGCTGCCCCCTCTAAAAGCCTTTCCTCCAGTATTGCCGGGATACCATGGCTAGATGTTTTGAAAACATCTTTATTCTACACTAATCTTCCTGGATGTCCCACCTGAGCTGTGATTCTCTACAACTCCTCCATTTTCCTTATAGGCTAGTGGGTTGCTTTCCTAATTGAACAGACTGGTCCCACACTGAGCAGTCTTGGAGGTTTCACAGTTGTAGTATATCTTGCCTTTCCATATGATGTATTGAACAATGCTTTGTGGGATGCTGCCGTTGAAACCTCAGGATCTTGTTTTGCAACCAAACTACGATTTTCAAACTTCTCCACAGCTTTATTCCCATCCAAACATGTGTTCCTTGGTCTTCACGATGCTGTGATCAGCAATACTCTCTAATAAAAATCTGAGATCTCTAGAGAACAGCTGTGTTGCTACTTATATCAACACAGGTCCACAAAGGGCACCGTAAAGGTGGTACAAATTAAACGTTTGCCACACTTTCAAGATTTTATTTGCAAAGAATTTTGAAAACCCTTTTTCGCCCCACTCCTCCCCTCTTTACAAAGTGTGAAAAATGTCAGTATATACATGAATACATTTGCAAGTCACTGTTTAATTCAAAAGTGAGGATAGTGTCTATTTCGACCAATCGGATATCGGCTGAGCAACGTGAGGTTTGTTTCTTTACAACAAAACATTATTCTACCTTGAAGTCCTTGATGCTGTTGTAGATACTCGTAGGGAGGACCTTGTTTTCCCCACAGCTCCGTGCCTCGGTGACTATCTCGATGACCTGCTCCAGGGCACAGCGCATTCGGTGGAACACGGCGTCTTTGTTGATCCTCGCCGACTCGCAGTCTGGGTGCCTGAGGCAAGTCTGCGGAGGGGGTTGGATGTGAAATGTCAATGTACTCTCTTCTTCTCTCTCTCTGTCTCTTTTTTTATTTCTCTTTTACTTAATGTGTCTTGACTCAATTACTGCACAGACCCAAGCATGTTGGAAAACTTGAAATTGAAGAGAGGTTTTAATTTTTAAGCTGGACATGATCAATGACAAATGACCGAGGTCAGTTTTACCTTGGAGGCTGTGAGGAGCATCATGGTGCATTTCTCCAGCACTGCCCGGGCTGCTGCCATTCTCGCCTTCTTCTTGTCGTCTTTCAAGTCCTACAGCACAAATACACACACACAATGAAAATGGATGCCTTTACTTTAGTAAAGACTTCTTACAACTCTCAGGGTGTCCAAGGGATATGAGGCATAAAAAGGATCCTGCTCGGTCACCCAGATATAATCAGGATTTTTCTGCAGGTTACACATGTGCAGCTTTGTGGGTTATATTTCTTTAAAAAAAAAAGAGAGATGCTACCAGAATATAAAAAAAGAAAACCTGTTTTTGTCACTGTGCATGGATTCTACATGGGAGAAGCGCAGATTGAATTCTACAGACACAGGATTTGAAAACGGCAGCTGAATCAACTCCTCTGCAGGCACTTTGCCACAGATTACAAAGACGATGTGATTATCTGTCATTATTTTTGCCTCTCCGCTCATCTGCTTTCAATAGCTGAAGATGCTTTTTTTCCTTTAAAAAAAAAAAAGAAAGAAAAAGACATGTGCCTTTCCATGTGTGAACATGGAGAGTGAATGAGGGGGTGTAAATATGACACAAAAAAAAAGTGGCAAATGAGAAGAGGAAGCGTTAGGAGCGACGTGATGTGCGTTTCAAAACCTGAGCCCCTGATGAAATTCAGACAGATAGATGGCGGATCCTCACTGTTTGAATAACGCAGCCGCTGCATTTCACATCGACTTCCGCAGGCAAAGCGCTTTAGCTACAGAAGCTGAATGTATGCATCAAAGTGGGATTATCAGTCCTCTGACAGTACAAAGTTTAGAACCCCTTCAAGTTGGAGGGTGTTTTCGAAGCACTGAGTGCATGTTTTGTTTTGTAAATGTGCTGCAATATGGCTGATCGAATTCACCACAAGAAAGCACAGGTCAGCTCCTTTCGAGACTGAATCGTGATGTAAATATTCTTTGAGGAGTGTGAGTCACAACTGACCTGTGATTTGCTTCTAAAGACTGGCGATGCAAAATAAATATGGATAAGGAAAGAAGCTTTGCAAAAAGAAGCCAGGCCTGAGAAAGAAGTCTTACACAATTGTTCAGATATTTTTAAAATATGTAAATATTTCATGGTTGGATTATTGATTTACTTTTTTCCAGAGTGTGCTGCACTTCACTATGCAGACACTGCAGTTCTCAAAGTCCAGCGTTATCCCATAGATATGAATTTATGAAAAGCCCAGTTTAGTGCACAGCATTCACATGAGGAGGAAACTAAAGATTTTTCAGACTTTACTTAAAATACTTGATAGGGTTTTCTTGATTAAAAACATTAATTAATGTAATTTAATAATTGCATTGCTACTCACATTCTGTCTGTCTCCTGTGAGATGAGCAAACTCCACCATCTCGTTGCCAAACTGGCTGAAAATCTGCACAAACTCCTGGAAGGTGCTGACTCTTTCCAGTTTGTCAAGTGTTACAAGAACCTGAAAGAAGCAAAATGATCAGCGAGGTGAGATGATTAGTTAGTATTTGTCTTGGAACTCATATTTATTAGCAGATGCAGTTTTAAAACAGTGGAGGACATATTATCCGATGCTCACATAGTAACAAATGATCAAGATTAAAATTTAGACTGGATGTGCTTTGCAAAAGTGTAATTAGCTGTGGAACATATTTCATGTTTTGTCACATTACAACCACAAAATTCTGTTTTTAACTAGAAATTTGTGTATCAGATCAACACAAGGTAGCTCCTAATGGCAAATTAGAAAGAAAAGGATCCCAAAAAAAATCATAGGATTAAGTACTAAGTATAATAACCCATCAATTTAATTTAGGTATGTTCGAAAGGTTTGTGCATCCAAAGTTTCAGGATACTCTGAAGTTTCAGGATATTCATGTGTTTCATGTCAAAATGAAACACATGAAAATATAATTTAGCATCTGTGTCAAACATTTATGTCTACTGACACCATCCACCCAATCTCAATGAGCTGGGAATTTAACTAATTCACCGCTATTTGGCAAAAGTATTCAAAATCTGGCATAATTTTCCCTCCATTTTAGAATTATGTACAACTTTGTGTTGCTTTATCACATATATTCTGAAAAAAATACATTGAAAATAGTAGCGGAAACCTGAAAATGGAAAAAAGAAACTCGTCAAAGTTCTCTTGCAAGGATCTGTATTATTTTTCATATTTTTCATTTTAATTTCTGATATTATCACACAGATAAAATCCTAAATAAAGGGCTGCTGGGTGGCTTAGTTGACAGAGCATATGCAGAGGTTGTTATGGATTTAATTCCCATTTGGTGCATGTCTTCCCCTTTCCTCCCCTCCATATTTCCTATCCATTTACTGTTAAATAAAGGTCACTACAGACTAAAAAATTAAAGTTAAACAGCCTGAAATCTGTACTTTGGAAAACAACAATCTATGTAAGCTGGTAAGTTAGTCGTTGAAGATTTGCTAGTCAGCAGGAACAACACAGCAGCGGCAACAGCTTTTATCTGTGGTGTATAAAGAGGAGGAAGAGATGTAATTGTGTTTGCCAGTAATGGAGAACAGAGGGCTGTCGACTGTCCGTCCGAACAAAGCAAACCGGTCATGATTAAGCCGCTGTTTCCATTCTTGGCCCAGTCTGAAGCGACATCCGTATCACACTGTCTGGCTAAGAGCACAGCCTGATATGAGAGCGAGGCGGTCCCTGGCCGGGTGTTTTCATGTGGTCACTAAAAGTGCTGCTTCCCTTCAATTACATCCAAGGTATTCTTTCAAAGGGGCCACTGCTTACTCATCGGGAAAATAAAGGACTCAGGAGTGTTTTCCTTGTGTATGTGATTGACTAGTTTACAGATGTTGTTCAAGGCAGCGCGTCTCATGTCAGGCAGTTTTACCTTATTGCGTGATGTGATTATCTGTTTGATGACGATGCGATCGGCAAGGACGAGGACTTTAGTGACTGATGAGAGGAGCAGGCGGGCGGCCTTTACCATCCCAGTCCTGTCACTGAACACTGTGACACGCCCGTCTGTCTGAGGCTGCATGGCTGACCCCACGTCTGTCAGCTGGGCTATTGCATCACCTAAGAAACAGAATGATTTTGCAGTTCATAATTTTGCACTTTTGTAGGGCTTTGCAAAGTCCCAAAAAAACAAACAAACAAACAAAAAACTTTGAACTTCAAAACTACAATGGAACATTTGAGTTGTAAGATGACTTGTTATCTCTCTGCATTTCTTATCAAAACTGTGCTGAAAGACAGCTTTTGATTTATAAGTTGGTGCAGTAGCACTTTCAGACTGCTAACTTATGAAGCCAGTCAATAAGATTAGGAGAGTAACATCTGTCATCATAAATAACTTTAAGACGCGGATGACAAGCCGTCTCTTAGGGGTCAAAAAGTGCATACAAAAATGCTGTGGAAACCTTTTTTTTTTCTTACTATCTTCTTTATTGTGTTTTTATGCTGTGAAAGCAGAAAGAGAGCTGGCTGAGATTTTCAAACATGCAATCTGGGCAGAGAGAGCCTTAAGGTTTGTGAGATGTGGAGCCTCTTTGGTTTTCCTGATAGCATGAGATCTGGATCTATAATAGGAAGCAGGATATAGGAACCTCCAGTGTAAGTTGGTAAGATAAAGATGTAAACAGTTAATAGTTATCAAAACTTTTTAACTATTGGTCTGACTTCAGATAAGGACAGGTATAGTAGCTTTTTTGTGGCTATTATCCGAATTACAAAGATCATTCATATCTGCCTTTTCTTGTTTTGCCCATTTTGAAAAGTAGTTCAGAGAAAATGGCATCTGAGGAAATCATGAACCAATAATGATGAGTTGAAAATTTCTAGGAACTCTGACAAAACAAACATAAATATGCATTTAAAAATATATACTGTTACATTTAATTTGTTTACCCACTCAATAGGGGTATTCAAATCAAAGGTAGTTTTTTTTCTAAAATTATGAGATTATTTCTCTTTTTTCTAATAAAAGAATACGCTGCTTTAAGGATCATATTTAGTTGTATAAATCAATACTTCTTAATGCCTTCTCTGTTACATCACACAATAATGTTGAATTTTCTGCCAGCTGTCTCTTAGGGGTGATTTTCAGGTACTTTGAAGTCTGAATTTCCAAATTCAGACTCAGATGTAATCTACAATAGCTCCCCCAAGTTAAAACTCCAACCTGGGAAGGTCCCACAGCAACCAAAAATTAAATCCAGAATAGCTTCAGGCAGCAGCACATACAAAATGCAGGAAACGTTGCAGAAATAAAATGTTTACTTTGTCTTCTGGGGGTCTGTATTATACCAGTTACATGTGTTGCAATGTGAATCATCATTTGTCAGCATGTTCATTTAAAGCTTGAAGGCCTATAGTGAAGAGAAATACATCATTATTCACTTGATTTGCAAACTTTTCTTAGCTTGGACACTTATAGCAAAGAACAGAATATACTGGTTGTGCAGTGTGCAAACTATACAAAGTTTAGTTGGATTTAATATCATTCCCAGGTCAAAATTCTGGATTCAAGGATTAATGGAATGTAGCCTTAGTTTTAAATCAATTCTCTGGGAGCAACATTGTTATGTAATGCCATGCCGGTCTATTGCTCTCCACCTCTGGGAGTACATTTACAATAACAGAGCCAACTTTACCCAAACAAAACTTTCATGCTTTGTGGAGACAATTTTTTATGCTAAAAACTTCAAAGCTAAGGAAAAAGCTTGTGAATATGCCAACTGAAATTTATAAACAACCAATCAAATGTCTCCAGGGGTTCACAGCTTCGCTTTTTTCTTGTTTCTCATTCCTTATTTTTATTCTAAAAAAGTACCTCAGACGCTTCCACTAAAGAGAAAACAGACTTTGGAATCAGATCGCAAAGTAGAGTCTGCAAAGGAAAAAAAAAAACCCAGCTCTGATAGCAAGAGGATGAGGACACAGGCTGATATCACGTAATGCAGTTCGATTCTCTTCCAGGTCTGGCTGGTCCTTTTTAGGAAGCAGCCCGGACAAAATGATTGTATCTGACAGGCTGCTATTCAGAGCCAGCTCTGTTAACAAGTTAAAATTTGTGGCCGGCCTCAGAGGAGATCCAGTCTGAGTTCCTTGACTGTGCTGTAGTAGTGAGCAAAAACACAGTCAGCACTGTTTCCCCATATGTAGAACATAGGGCTTTGAAAAAAAGAGACTAAGGAAATTAAGAATTGGATTATAATTGCTCTTGAACTAAAATATGTCTCTGGTATGATGGAAGGTATATATTGTTTATGTATCAGAGGAATTACCAAAAATGTTAATCCCATTTGTTGAACGTGGATAATTGCTTTTGAAATTAGGTCTTTTATAATGAATTGGGTTATTAAAATACAATCCAATTACTGTTTGTGCTTTTGTCAGTGTTAATACATTTTCAGTTTTAAGTAGTACGTCATATACAGCATTTTTGTTTTTAATATATGTGAATAGCATGCTGTGGCTGAATTCTTGGAAGTCAACATTGCTAAGTATTCACAATCAGTATTTTTAATACACTGAACTTAATAGAAAAAGATGAAGACTGCAGTAGCCTGCACCCACTTCTCTCAGTATGCAGATGGGAAATGGACAACAGTTTTTTCTGCAGGATGCCTAATTTCACTAGTTATATCAATCAAGAGTCCAAATATTTGACTGGCTATATAAAATGGAAAACGCTTTCACATTTTTATTTATTTTTTTATTTTCTAATGCAGTTTGTATTGTAGTTTAACCTTGCTCTTATTAACTGCAAAGAAAGGCTCAGATAGATGACACAAATAAACATCAATGCCTTGCTAACTACCTCTTCTGCCCCCGCAGACTGTATAAAAGATTTAAAAAAAAAAGAAAAAAAGAACAAAGCTTATTCCTTTTGATCAAGATGTTTGGAAGTCAGATGTTAGAAAAAAAAAAATATAATGAGCAATAGTTTAAAGTTTCTCAGGGCCAACTCAAAGGCAGAACTGTGAAAGGAGCATTGTGAAAACTAGAGTAAATTAGTCAGGCAGAAAAACATGCATGTATTAACACATGCATGAACAGTCAGCTTCACCTATGCATAAGAACATTTCCTCAGCAGCTGACTCAACTCCTCTCGACAGTAGCCTTTTTGTTAAGAGTTTTAGCCGTCATAACAAATCAGCAATGTGAGGACTAAATGCTTTTCTACACGAGCTGGTTCCCCCAGCGTTAACCTATTGTTATAATGTTGGGTTTAAAATCTTTAGCCTCTGAGACACTGTTTGCCCCCAACTGGAAGCAATGTCACACTGTTTCCATCTTAAGGGTAGATTAAGAAATGTTACACCTAAATTTGAAGTCTCAAAACCTAAACCATGAATCTTCTTCCCGAGGTGTTAGCACAAATGCTAACATATGTTTTCTAACCATAACAGTGGCTAATTTTTCAAAAATGTAATAACGTAGAAAACAAAGCTTTGTTTAAAAGGTCCCTCAATCTTTACCTTGAAATGTACCCCATATGTGACAACTTTACAAATAGGACTTGCAAAGACACTTTTTCAGTATTTGTGAAAATAAATACTTACCAAAAATGGGGTAAAATTATTTTCCCCAATTTATTAGACTAAGTACAACGTCCATAAGACTGAGCCAGATTTTTAAAAGTTAATTTAGGATTATTTAGTCCCTTGCTGGGACTAAACAAAAACATACTCTGGATAGGATGAATTTGTATTGTAGTGCAAATGTTTTTTAAAGGAAGTAGGAAAATAGTAAGAGAGGAAAGAGGCGACACCATGTAAAGAGTGAGTAAGTGGAGTGACTGCTAAACCTTTTGTCCTTGTAGCTTCCCTTTTTGCACCACCCCACCTTCCTGCTGGCATCCCTGAACACACAAGGGTCCCTGTGCTTGTGTGAGTACAATTACAATTTCTACAATTTCTATGCTTCTTATAGAAATGATGATGATGTTCTAAGAAAATAATGTTTCCTTGTCACATTTCTACACATTTAGAACATATTGATCATCAGATAAACATGGCGGCCATAGATCTTTCCAACAGGTGCAGAAATGTGAAGAACGAGGTAAAGTCAATGTCCAGCCTTTGTTTTTCTTTTTTTTCTAAAAAAGAAAAACCTAACATGATAACAATTGTAGTGAATGAATATATGTACAAGTTAATATTAAAATATTTCTAATCTATAAAACACTTTCTATGGACGGTTATGTGTCAAACAACACTCTACCCAATCAAGTGTGAACTAAACTTTTGATCATCTTTTATTCTGGGTTTATTATACTGCATTACCCATGTAAACACAGCACCCTTTCATCCCCTACTCAACAACCGCAATGTCTTTATTTTTTTGTAAATGTGCTGAAAGATTTGACAATGACATTTTTCACATTTTTCTTCACTTCCATATAGTAAATCAAATTTTTACTTGTTTTGATGATGTGTATGGCATTTTTTCCCCCAATTTTGTATAATTTTTTAGAGCTACTGTTTATAAATACTCTGCCAAGAGTTTGCCAAAACTCTAAAGGACAAACAAAATATCAATAAAAGGCTTTTCGCCAAAATGATTTTGGTGCAAATCCAGCAAATTAACCAAACATGACTTTCTACAAGTCTTTGCAATAAAAACTTTAAAAAGACATATTTTGGTCATGCTAATACAGAAAATCTTTCTTTAGAGAATCTGCCTGATTAATTTAGGATGATGCTAAATCTGTCCATCTCTGCCTCCCATACATATGAACCGATTAGTTCTGATGAGACAGGAACAAAATGCATTTTACAGCTGCTTTGTAGAAACTCAACTTAAAAAGAGACATCCAATACAAATGCTTTGGGGTTTTTTCCCCTCAATTTAAATCTAACAGGTTGATATTTCTTCAGGTAACAACCATTGTCCAATAACCTTCAATTACAGCCCATTATCCATGTAAAGGCAGATTAATTTCCTCTTCTACACAACACCCCAGGGTGCTGCAGCTGTTTTTTTCCCCTCGCCTTCATCCCCAACTCAATAACCACAATGTCTTTAGAGCACTCTGGAGGTCTTCTGGTGTAATACTGGGTGACAGCTCGGTTGTCCAGACTAATCGAAATTTGCTAAAAGTTGATAACACGGTGAAGCCTGAAGGTGACGTGTCTAAAGCTTTATGAAACTGTCACACTTTAGCTTGGCAAAACACTGATGAGCAACTCTTAGCTTACTGAATGGTCTGCTCAGCACAAACTGTTTGGAAAACCCAAAATCCCATAAAGCCTTTTTGTGCTTACAACAAAAAGATAGAGTGCTATCTAAAAAAACACTGTTTGCATTGTTTATTTTTCCGCACAACAAAGTGTCATTTTGAAACAAAGCAGGAAAAATGTTCACCATTTTATGAACTATAAACACACAATTTAGATAAAATGTTAAACACCTGCAAGCTAAAGGGTTCCTACCTGCTCTGCGTGCTTCAAAGCATGCCTGACCCATTTCATCCTTCAGCTCCTGGTTTTCTGAGGCAATGGCCTCCCCAACAGCGACAAAACGCCCCACAGCCACGCTCACCGCCTGACCCACACGGTGAATCGCTGCCAACGTCCGCTCCGACTTCTTTGGCCTGTCTTTGTGGTTAATCAGGGTCGTGATCTGCAGAAATTTCAGGAGAAAGACAAAAAAGAAATGAGGATTTCTTTCTATTAAAATAAGCGTTAGAGTTTTATTTTGAACAGAAAAAGCTGATCAATGCTACATAATTTTGGTCAGCCATTTGTCATTTAAACTACGGTGGAATAGTACTCTTAAATCAGTGAGCAATTATGTCAAATAGTATTTCAACAGAAAAACAACTAAAATGACAGACATTTTTAGGGTTTCCTATTCAGCACAGGAATACAGGACAAGTAAGAGGAAACACCGATATATGTCCTTTTGGCAACACGCATCAGCTACAAATAGATAAAGGCAGACATTAAATATTTATTGGCTGCGTCTTCTTCTCTCCAGCTGTTGTTATTGAGTGTATGCGTGGGTGTGTGTATGTTATAAATCATTTAGTTCTTTAGGAGGTGGGTGGTCCTTTTAATTGGCACACGACTGTAGGTGGTACACGAGGGGAATCGGTGACAACAAATTATCTGTACAGAACAACACATTTAAAAGACTGGTCCTTGTTGAACCCCGATATGTCTGGAGCAACTTCTTGAGTTGTCATGGTCTTAAAGAGTCGAAACGTACCTACTCAATAAGACTTTTATACATCCCATGTTGTTCAAACTAAGTTTCAGAGAATCAACAGAGATTTCTTGAATGTATGTATTGTTGTGCGCCATCAATCAGGACTGTATGATGGTCAAATTATTTTAATCTAGTTAAAACCATTGATTGCAAGTTACAGTCATGACTTATCAGAAGAGCACCACCTACTGACCGATTGACAGCAAAGCTCTCAGATGTGTGAAGAAAAAGTTCTTCCCATGAACTAAACCTACCAGACTTTATACTAAGACACAGTTTGAACAAACATTAACTTACCAGGTCCTAAACATATTTGGTAAAAAGGTTAAGTATAGCAATAACTAATATGCTAAAAAAACAAAACAAACAAGTGCTTTTAAAGTAGCCCTATAAATGTATGTAGCTGGAAATAATTGATATATTGTTTACTTAGATCATTCATCATGGTGCACGTTTCTTCTTAGTCAATTTGAAGTGTGCAGATATCGGCATGTCAGGTTGAAGCTGTAAAAAAGATTTCACATAAATGTGGCTTTCTTTGTCTGAATGGCAGAATGTTGTCACTTCACAGACTGGTAAAATAATTTTCAGGGCATAGCTCATGTCAGCAAAGGACTTGCAAATCAATTCCTTGTTAAGATACCACCTTTTCTTCCGATAACTCTATTATCACTGCATTCTACCCACAGTATCTTCTTTATATAGACTGTTGGTGTCAGGCAGGGTACAAAGGGCACCAATGGGCTTATGTTTAAGAGAGAAAGAAAGCGACTGAAAAACCTGCTGTACTTCACCATTTTCATGCTCTTTTTGTCTAAAAACAGAAGTTGTTATATGTCAAACAGCTTTTTATGCTTTTAGTTCTACCGTCTGTGGCAACATGACAACATTTCCTAAAGTGCACATTAGACTCTTCTTTTAATTAAGTAATATTTTACGATGTCTTTTGCATCTTCCGTTTTTGAATTACTTTTCACTGCAAGGCATGAATTTTTAACAACTTGGGCACAAAAACATATATTCTAGGTGCTGGTTCCCATCTCCAGCAGACATGGAAAGAGAAAAAGGAAACACATTGACATATTCAAAGGATGGAAGGATGTTTGAGTATTCCACAAAAATGGAATACCCCATCAAGAAACATAATTGTACTAACATTCTAAGCAAAAGAAAGGCCTGGAGGCTTTCCTCCAATATAAATAAAGGAATGATGTTGAATTGACCTGTTTGAGTCCTGGATGCATTTATTCAATCATGCATGCATGCTTGAAGGCAGAAAAGGAATGTGAAATTTGGGATGTATAAGGGAAGAAGGAGGAAAAATAAAGTGAGGAGAGGCAATAAAAAGAAAAAGTTAAACCAAGAGACAACTGAGCACCAATTTCTCTTTAAGGAAAAGTTATTGAACTATAGTGGTCCTCTTCCACTGTGACTAATGCCCACTAATATGCATGTTTTAGATTATTTTAGATATGTCTCTGCAATAGGTTGTTGTAATGAATATGAGCTCAAATTTAACTCTCCACATATATCTTCATTCACTTCCCAAAAGTACAACCTGCATGAGGATGTGATTTGCAAGGGCTTTTACATAATGTCTTTTATGTAAAACAACCATGATTTGATAGACAGAACCTAACCAGTGGAGGGGAAATAAAGCAGTAAAAAGAGGCAAGAAAGTTTTCCAAAGGGAGGACAGAGAGCAGAAAGCAAGCATTCTGGGATCACCTCCGTTATGAGATTAGTAGGTTTGGTACATTTACTGGGCCAGGCAAACAGGAACAGAGCCGGGTGGAGAAAACATAATATTGATACAGTGCCATGACACTGGGGAAGGCTTTTTGTGTTTGAGCATTCATCAGTGGAACTTTGTGGAAAGGTGAAAAGTGCACATTCCTTTTACATATGTCAGTGTGGGAAAAAAAAAAAAACTTTACAATCATCTCAGTTAAGATGTTAAGTTCTGAAAACCATAACATTTTTAAGTTAAGTTAAAAATGCTAAGTTTTTTTACTTAACTTAAACTGAACTCACAGCACAGCACCTACTCTGGGTTTTGTTCAGCACAGAGGGGTGCTGAACTGAAACCATTTAGTCATGGTTTGAACCTTTTAGAAACTTAAAACTATTTTTTAGCAACCAAACATTGGCAACACAATCACATTTATAACAATAAGACTGCAAATTGATGAACATGATGCATGATTTATGTTCAAAAGTTTAAAACTGTGAAAGGTTTGTACTGAAAAAAATAAAAATAAAACGTGTTATAAACTTTGCTGCCTCATGCTTCTGTGGCAATTTAACCAAGGTTTTCAACTTTTCAAATTTAGACTTAAAACTTTTATTTCAACCCCATTTTCTACTAACCTTCACAATCTCTCCATCTCCTTTGGTATTCAACCAGTCAATATCAAACAATTGAGCTCTCATCTCTTTGTTGTGCATAAAAAGGAAGACAATTACAAGGCTATAAGAAAAAACCTCAATGTGCCTCACTGTGAATAATACGCTAACCAATTCCACCCACTGGTTAGCAGGAAATTTAGGCCAGTACCTCAAGGACACAGTGACTGACTATAAATCTGAGGGTAACAAAAGGTGGAAACATTTGTGGCTGCCTCCCATGGCTACAGATTCAGTTTCACTGAATGGCCATGGTAAGAGAAAGTTCGATGTTATCGGAATCACCCTGTCCCCGTCGCCCAGTTTTATTTGCCGCTGTTCTCATTCTTAATTTTTAATTCAAGCATAATTTGTGAGCAGACTTTTCTCCTCTGTTGACATAGTCGTTGCATGTGTCATTTGAGAACTGCAAAGAATCCCTCTTCTAACAAGAGGTGGCTAGAAAAAAAAAAACAACACAAAACTGCGTTAGTTCGAACAAGCTGAACCGAGAGGCCCACTGGGACTTTTATTAAACACACATTGTAGATGTTCATTACAATAATTGCTTGTTTGGTGAGTCCTGTGTTGGCCTGCTTGCTTGTCTCATTTGTTTCACTTATTGCCGTTAAGCTCTACTTGGCTCACAGACAGAATCAACGGGTAAAGCGACGGGAGCTGTATATTTCAAGAGCAGAAAGACTAAATCTGAAGTAAAACACTAAAGAAATGGAAGAATATCCTCAGATGTGAGAATGAGGGAATGTCAAGCAAAGTAACATTACTCCATCTAACCTGACAAGATCACAAATTGTTTTGTCCTAGTTGAATCTATACCAGGAAAATACCAAGATATCATTTGTAGATGAAAAATGACAGCTTTCAGCAATTTCCAGTTCTCCTGACTCACAGCAACTAAAGTAATATTTTAAAGTTTAGAGAAAAATCCGCAAGTCAAGGCTTAACAAAAACAAAAACTAGAGCCATAGTTTGTTTTTTTGTTTTTTTTGTTTGTAGATAACATTTTGCAGCAGCAGAACAAGGTTTGGAAAATAAATCATTGAGCTCAAAAGAATAACATGCCAAATGTAACGCCTTGATCATGCTTGTTGAAAAGCCCAAATTTGCAGTTAGGTTTTTCCAGAAAAATCTTTTTTTGTGTGTGCTTCATAAGAAAAGAAAAAAAAAATCCCTGCTTGTCATTGTAGACAAGCAGTGAATCACTTAGTTAAATAGAAAAGAAAATATTTTCAGATATTATTTCAGCCTGTTACAACACAAAGGGATCATTGTTGCACCCCAAAGAAAAACGTTTCAGAAAATTAACAGTGAAGTTAAATTTAAGGCATTTAACAAATGGTAAGTAACATGAACAAAAAGAAAAAGAACAAGATGTTTTAAATGTTTGTCTCAACCATGTGGGTTTGTCCAAAAAGGTTCCCAGACAGTATTAGCATCTCTTTATCTGAGCCGTGGCATCCTTGACAAAAAGCCAAGATTCTGTTTAGCCCTTATTCATGCAATGAGATACATGACTCGCTGTTCACCAGGGGCCATGTGTGTGGGAAGCAAAACAAAACGCGCAAGGAAATCTGCTCTGAACATGCACTTTAATAAGAGAGTAAATTCCCAGCAAATTGGCTGCAAGGAGAATGGAGTTCAATCTTGTGCTGGTCGATAGCCAGACTCTGGAATATAAGGAGATGAAAAGGGGGGGAAATCATGTTGGTGAGAGCAGATGTGATAATGTGAAATAAGGAGAGGATTAAAAAAAAGAAAAAAAAGAGGACACTGTGCTTCTACTGAATGCCTCTCTCTACTTTGTTTTGTTTCTGTATCACTGAATTGTTTGCTTCTTTTCTAACTTTCTGGAAACTTCTCCCTCCTCCTCACTATGCATTCGAGGGTCCAAGTTCACCCACAAAGCTAAGCTGCTGCAGTATAGTACAGTGTGATACAGCAGCAGCTTGCAGTATTTGAGATGCATTCTTCAGGGAGCAGGGTAAAACCCTGCATAGAAGAGAGTAGAAATATATAAAACCAACATTACCTCATCTTTCAAAAATGTATAGCAGGCCTTCAAGCTCTTTCATTCTAATTTTAGCTGCAAAATGCACTGCAGATGCTGACAACAAACTGAGAAATTAACCCAAATGAGCAAAGCCACTTTTCTGGAGACCACTTGGTAATTATCATTTTAAAAAAAGCTTTAGTACAACTTACCAAGCCAGCAGCCAATTAAAACGAATATTCTGCTGCGATAAGTCGTGTCCTCAAATTAAGGAAGTGCTCATTTATGCCCTTTCAGTTACCCATAAACAATGGAAAGAGTTGCTGAGTCTGAAAAAGTTTACAGGGAACCGTGTTACATTAAGCTACAAAACTGCATCTCATTGTCGCTCCAAATGAAACCACATCCATGTGTCACATGTCCAGTCACGTGTGCTCATCTCTGGAAGTGAAACCAATGTGTCAATAAGTTCATTTGAGATTAGTCTGAAATAATACTGAGCTGCTTCAGACATTTGAGATTAGTCTGAAATAATATATATATATATATATATATATATATATATATATATATATATACATATTTTTGTATATATATATACACATCGATAGATCTACATCGATGTAGATCTATGGACAGATCTATCCATAAATCTATATATAGATTGATCTATGTATGAATGATGCATCAATATGTAGATATCATTGTATCTACATATTTATATATATCTATAGATATAGATAGATATCTATATAGATATCTATCTATATCTATAGATATATATCGATCTATATATTGACCTATACAGATCTATATCTATAGATCTATCCACATAGATCTATATATAGATATCTATATGAATAGATATCTACATATAGAGGGATCTATATAGATCCATTTATTTATATGAGTACCATGAGTACTGATGTTCTGGCTTTTCAATATAATCTAAAGCATCCAATTAACAACATCATTATCTCTTTTTTCAACTCCGGCGAATCACTCAACCCACACGTGGCCCCACCCCGCTGACTTCCCGTTATGTCTTTGCTCTGAAAGTACTTTCTTCAACAGATCTGTCTGATATTTGAGTTTCGCATTTAGTTTGCGATTTATGTCAAACATCTCATCAAGTTGTCTCATTAAATATTTCTGTAGTTCGATACTTTCTGATTCAGATTCCTTAGATCTGGCCTGACAGGTACACTTTGCTTGACGTGTTGTGGAAATCACAGTGTGCTTGGAAGAACACTGGTTTTCCAAGGAATCTACCTGTTCACTGTCTTTTGGCGGTACTGAATCATCTTGCCGTTCGAAATGTTCAGCGAAGAAATTAAGGTCAATGTGAGCTTCTGATTCAGGTAACACTTTCCAAAATGTGTTCTTTCCGCTGCTGGGCAAAGCTTCCTGATAACCTGTTTTTTCCAGCAGAGGACCGTTATTGACGCCACTATTTCCTGTCAAAAACATCATATCTATGGAAGCGTCTGACTCGGGGAAAGATTTCCATAATAGTGGCGTCTTCTTGATGCGCTTCGTCTTTGATGTCTGTTTTGCCCCTTTTTGATCCACTTTCCTCTGTGATTTGGAGGTGGATTTCTTTTTGGTGACCAGCTGTGTTGTAGAAATCACAGGTTCTTCTATACAACACTCCTTTTTCAAGGAATCTTCCTGATCACCTTCGTCAGGCAGAGAAGTGTCCTGCATATTAACGTTTTGAGTGCAAGACGTTAAGCATTGTTCCTTCTCCTGCAGTACGGAGGTCGATTCCTGTTTGGTGTCAATTGAAGTGTCTTGCAGTCCAGTATCTTCAGCTGAAATCGTTAGGGCATGTTTCTCCAGCCAGATCTTAAACGGTATCTTTTTCTTCTTGTTGCGCCTCATCGTTGGTGGCTGTTCCTTAGACTTAGAGGGCTGTTCTTTCTCTGTTATACCGATTATCTCCTGCACTCCAGCGATGGACTCTTCTTCACTGACCAGTGGGTCATTCTGCTTTTCAATATTTTCTGCAGAAATCTTTTGGTCAATGGGGATGTGTTCCTCCGACCAGGTTTCAAATGTTACCTGGTTCTTCTCATTGGACCCATTCTCAGGTGTCAGTCTGTTCCCTTTCTGACCTACTGTCTCCAGTGCTTTGGCAATTGATTCATTTTCAATCACCAGGGAAGAGTCTTGCTGTTCGATATTTTCAGCAGAAGTCTTCAGCTCCTCAGGTGCGTGCAGCTCCCACCAGACTGCAAATGACATCTTCTTCTTCTTGCGCTTTGGTGGCTTGGGTGGCTGTACTTCCCTTTCGACAATGTTGTCGGATGCAACTTCTTCGACTTTAGGCTGGTTGGACTGCATTGTGACCTTTGCTTGTTTCAGGTTCTAAGATAAACACTTCTCTAGAAACTCAGTAAAGATTTAACGTTAAGTTTGATGTCAATCTCCAAATGAAATGTGCACCAAACAAAGTTGACAATCTTACTGTGAACTGCTAAATAAATTCTCAAGTGAAACGTATCAACAACGGCTGCTAACAGGTTGTGATGAAAGGGGATTGATGTGTCGAGCTTATATAATCGCTGGTGATGTCAGAATTCCGCTTTTGGAATTATATTGTGATGTCACGGTTTCACTCAATATTCTGAGCAGCAGAAGTCTTGACTGATGTTTTTTTTTATTAACACAGCAAATATGCGCACAACCAGACTGCAGAAAGCGTCAGTGAGCTTTTAAGCTGTCACTGGTTGCTATAGGTATCCACCATTAACTTGTTGTCTTGACATTGGTTAGCATGTTGTCAGCATAGCTACATAGACTACTATAACTGTTCAAAACTGAGTGATAAAATATGTTATGCTGCCCAGCGGCGCTTTATAGGGGAGGAAAGTTAGGACAATTCGAAGAGCCTCTGACCAACAGGGGGCCCTCCACAATTTTTTTTTTTTTTCATAAAAATTAAATAAAATGGGGCCCTGTCAATTACAAAATTAATCATATTGTGTTTTCTCAAACTGTTTTTAATCAGTAAAAATTTAATGTTACCACTCCCAGACCAAAAAGCACTGAACCCTCCACTGAATCTGCATGAAATGGTTTGTTCCTGCTTAGCGTGCTTGACAGTGACGATGTTTAGCAACAAGGAGAAGACAAGAACGACTATGGCGGTTATTTTGCTACTGAAAAAAATTAGATAAGAGAGAAAAAGAACTGGGTCCTCACTGTGTGAGATTATCAACCATTCAACACAGTTAGCTTAGCTACAGACTACTGTTTGCCTCCATTTCACTAGCATTTAATAAATTAAGGAAAGAAATTACCAAGATATTCATAAATTTAACTTACCCTTTTAACACGTTTAACAAGTGTCTACATATTCATATTCTAACATTTTCTGGCTCATTTCTCTCACTGTAGCTATACCTAAAATATATTGAGCTACATTTTAATTCCTAATTTTTGAGATGATGGCTTTCATTTCCTTAAAGCAATTCTGCTCAAAGAAAAGGCAAAGACTTGATTGAACACTACAAACACTATTGACTGTTGTTTGTCTATGGCATTGAATCTCCAGTTTGCTTTTTCATATTTATAATGTTATCTTATGTGTCAGTCTGACCGGTGGCTTACTGAGCCATTTTCCTTTGTCTGGGTCTGGACCGTGTTCATGTTATTGTAATCAGTGAGGAAGTGGGGAACATGTGACAAAAAGACTACAAATTAGACAACGAGCACATGACATGAACTTTAGCCCACTCGCTCATGTAGGCCAACAGACATGCAACCAATGAGACAGACAAGCATGTGTGGACACTGATGCAGACAGACAGCGAGGTGGGGGTGTAATGAGGCTTTCTGATACACAGGCAGGCAAACGGGAAGGAAAAACACTCAGAGTAGATCTGAGCAGAATACAGGGGAAGCAGTTGAGTTTGGATTCCTATCAGACTGTACCCCTCACTGGATATGCATGAGAAAAGGGCAGTGCTTGGCCTTCCAGCTTGAGTTCAGCAATCACAGCTGACATTTGAATATGTGGAAGGGCGAACAGACTCCACGGCAAACATGAGCTGGAAAGGGTTGACTGAGAATAATAACTAGCTGCTTCCGAGGGTGCAAAATCAACTACTCGGGAAGGACAAGAGACACAGAAGTATCATTTCTCCTCATCGAGTGCGTGTGGCATTTTACTTAAGAATGGAAGAAGAACTGCTTCCTGCTGCAAATTTATTTACTGATGATTCCCCAATTCTTTCTTACTGTTATTAAAAGTCCCAACCTTATGGCCAAATAAAGTCAATCTACAAAAAAAAAAAAAACAATTTCTCACCCAAAATGAGTGTCTAAGTAAATCTTTACAAGCGTGTATGATGCTTTTCAGTCATTTTCTGGCAACAAATAAGAGAAGCAGGTTATTCATGTTACCAGAAAATCAGCCTAATGCTGGAGCCAAAAGACATTTTACACACTAACCTTTGATCTGCAGCAGACTTCTTGAAAATATAATGAAATGAGATGAGAACCAGGTTCACTATGAGTAAAACCTATAACTAAAACTATCATCAAATCTGTAGTTAAGCATTTCCCTTTGAAAAGCACACGATGTTCAAAACAAACAAGAGTTGATTTCTCCCAGATGCAGGCACAACACACAATGAAGGCTTGTTTTGAGACAATGACGTGACGGCGGTACGCAGGTCTGAGATCTGGCTACATTTAAGTCTCAATAGGAAAGCAAAAGGAAAATTACAGGATGCCTGTACCTGAAGAAGTAGCAGCAGAAAGTGAAAATAGATTTGTAGTAAATAACCCACTATGTCTGTTGCTTTAGTGTGAATCTAACTCAAGAACCCAGTTGGTATAAAAAAAATACACCAACTGACAAATGTTTTAACAATTAACAATGTGCTAATATGTTTTTAGGCTTTTTGGATGTCTTCCGCGGAGTTTAGCAAGAGACAATGATCCTATATGACAAGATAATAGTCAAATTTACAATTCCATCATGTGGCGGTGACTATAATTCTCACTTTTAATTTTCTGAGCAGCACATAAAGTTTCAGACACAAAAATGTCCGGTGAATGTTCACACATATGGAGCCCGGGCAAGGTCCCAAAAATTTATGTAAAGTCCTCATTACAAGGCCACACAGCCTGGTCAGTAGAAATTTTCTTGGCTTAGCTCCAACAACCAGATATGCAAATAGGATTTTTTTTCTTTTTTTTTTTTGAAACTTCTGTTTTCAGGAGCTCAAGTTCATAGCAACTATTTATGTTGTTTACAGAGAAAACCTCTATGTTGGCTGCATGAGATGCTGGACTTGTATTCAGAGAACATTAAAAACAAGTTTTAAAATGTCCTTGCTTCGTGCGTCCAAACGGCAAGATGATCATATGAATAAAAAGCTGCAAGGAAAAGCCTCAGAAACACACTGCTTGCATTCACAAGAACACAATATGTCTTTTCATGAGTGTCTGCTCACGTAATTCTCTGGATAGAAGGTAGGAGGGAGACAGTGAGATAGAGAGAGACAAAGAGGAAGTCAAGGAAGGGGTCAGCAAGCAGAAGTAAGATGTATCTTCAGCACAAAGAAAAATGCTGGGTCAGATTCACTTTCACTATATTAACTATTCAGGTTCTATTTCTTAAGCTAACCAGAGAATGGAGCCTACATTTATGCATAAATGCATAGCAATCCAGGTTCTCTGTATTTGATAAAAACATATATATGGTTGACATTATTCTAATGTTTTATCTCTTTAAATTCTAATAATTATGTTTTTCTGTATGAGTAACACTTAAATCCCATTTTTTTGCAATATATTCCATTATATTTAACCATTTAGTTTGTCTGCATTCAATAAACCAAAATTATCTTCACATCACAACAAAAAGACATTGTTCTGTCTTGACTTTCCATTACAGATGAGTCATATTATGCTAGTTAACAATCACTATCATGTCATTTTTGTGATTATGCTAAACAACATCCATTTTTCTTTTCAAAATGAAGTGTCCATACATGTAAAGAGACACCAGCACCTTCAGAAAAAATTAGTTTGATTGTATCTTGATAGAAGGAGTCATGATCTTCAAGAAATTCTTTTAGGATAAAAAAAAAAAAAAAAAAACCATTTTATAGGTAACATAGATAAAAATGTACTGAAACAGTACACGAGCTTATGAGACCACCGGCAGTATGTTGCTTTTTGACACCTGGGTTCTGCCAGGACATGAGCGTCTCCATGGTAAGCAACACTTTCAGGAAGCTTGAACTCCACCATTTTACAAAGTTCCCTGTTGTCAAATTGCACCAGGAAGTACAAGCTACAGTTGGCCAGGACTCATGCTACTATTGCTGATTCATTTTATATGTGGGTTCTTATACTCTTTGACTGACTTTAATTGGGTACTTTGAGTCTCCAACTCGGTATAAGTGTGGACAAATAAAAACTGGAGTTTGGATTTCCAGACTTTCTACATTTATCCAAGATAAAAGATATAAGGAGTTTATGAAGAACAGACTTTCTAAATGTATTTATATTTAGAAGATTCCACATCACAAACTTTGTCCTGATCATTATTTATGTTGTTTTTAGTCTCACTGATGCGCTCCTTCAGAAATGAAAAACTGGTTATTTCACGTAATTATTTGTAAATTAGGTTTGACTGACATAAGCTCAGAGATTTATAAACTTACCAAGTTCTGACAAACTGAAACACATTTTGGATTAATATTGCGGTAGACATTCTCCAGTCAGAGCGTCAGCTTTCTCATTAAATCTGGAGTGACATCTAACACTTCGGTTCTCTGATGAAATCCTTCCTTACATGACTAAGCAGGACAGTTTGTGAGATCTGCTGGTTCTTTTTCCTGTTCCAGTTTTTAATCACACCACCAAAGAGCGCTGAACACTGCTCCACTGTGCGTCTCATTGTTTGTGTGTTAACAAATTCAGATTTCGGGCAAATTGGGATGAGTAACAACAGTCCTTTGGAGAAGACCGCGAGGATTCAGTAGACAAAGTACTTGCATGATTACATTAATCAAGAAGACTATTGGTGCTTTTGATGCAGATAATATGCAGAAATAAAATCAAAAGTATGGATTTGTAAATTCAAAAAAAGTTCAAGTTTGAAAATAAACCCTCATTCAGTCCGATAAATATTTCTCTGGTGCTTCTTGTGCAGCAGAGGAACACAGAAATTTTAGAGTCAATTAGTTCTGGCGGCACGCACTGAGGCAGATAAGACAGGACAAAATAACAACAAAATAGATTTCAAGGTTGGCACAGAGAAGACAAACCAATAAACTCCTCTCAAATCTCCCAAGAAACCATTCGCTGTCAAATGAACAGCTAAAATCCCACTTATTGTCGGGTTTTAAAGCTTGGCATCAACTCTCCATGCTCTGCCACAGTTGGAGAGCCCAGAGTTGCCCTGAAACCTCCCAGGAATAAGAATTCAAATAATCGGATGGAAGCGTGGCCAAGGGATTTTAGATTACATGTTTGAGATTGT